TGATCTTGAGTATAGAACGAAGACAGTTGTTGATACAGGTCTGCAACAGGCTGTTGGAAATATTCTTTGTGACCCGCCGTCAAGTTTCTGATCCGTATAGAAGAACTGACTGACTTGACATTTGTATTGAAAATCCGAATTTTGTTGTTGATGCTGAGTTGAGTGACGAAGATTTCCAGATTGGTTTCAGGTTGATGAATGTGTTTCTCGCCTTCCCGATTCTCGATTTGACATCCTCGTCTGTTCTCCCTGTAGTTGAGACAATGCTCCCTAGATAAGTGAATGAAGTAACCTCTTTCAAATCCCTCCCGTTGATGGTGATTGGCGCTGGATGTTGCTGCTGTTGTTGTTGTTGTTGGTTGGTTATTTTCATAATCTCAGTCTTGTCTATGTTCACCTGGAGTCCTGTCTTTCCTGTTTCTTCGACCAGTTTGTCAGTCTTCGCTCGTAAGTCTTCCTCATGAAGTAATATCAATCAATTTACAGAGATCATTAAAAACCAAGGAGAACTGGTCGACTGTTTCCTCCTAGTTTTGGGAATGTTCAGCAGTGCGCACTCACGAAAACCCCTCACCCCACCTCCGCCAGAGAATGGACTCCAGGCCTTCAGGTGAAGGACAAGGATGCTCTCACCAAGGGTAACACTGTGTCGCGAATTCTGACCAAAGTGGCTATGAATGGTCACCGGGCTTCGCCCCCTAACCTGAAGGTTCCTAGCTGTGTTGGGTTGTGGGTGAACACTGTCGAAGAGTCCTAAAAACTGAGATGAAACAGCTGTCCAGTACACTACTGCTGGTTTTCCAGTTGTTTCTCTAACTCGATATCTGCTTGTGTTCATGAAACCTATAAAGCAACCGATCAAATCGCTGCAAAGCAACATTTGTATGAATGAATACAAATGGTAGTTAGAAACTAATCACGTTATCCAGAGATCTAGATGATCTGACTGCAGGATGACTGTTTCACTCGCTTAAGGCTGAGCTCGTATGCGGTGTATCTCAAATGAAACAAAAAGATTGAGCGAAGAAATATTTACTTTTCAACTAGATCCTCATCTCTGGCTCTACTCTAATATATATATATATATATATATATATATATATATATATATATATATATATAGCATTTTTATCACAATAGTTTACCAATCGAGTGGCACTGATATGCTTGTTAACAATAATTAGTCAGTGTCAAAATGTCAATGGGTTGAAAATTACCGAAGAAAATCAATACACATGGTTAGAAGAAATTAATTTTACAGGGATAACACTTTGTAACGTAACCTGATAAAGTGTCTGGTTCATAGACCTAGGTTAATCTGTTCAGACGACTGCCTCAATGAGGAGCTTAAGATTATTAGAGAATTACTTAGAAAAAATGGTTATCCAGATAAATTCATTGAGAAAAATATAAATTCAGCACCTAGGAGAGTCAGTATGGCAACAGTTCCGAAAAAACCAATGTTCATAAAACTGCAGTTCCTCGGTGACAACATCAGCGAAATAATAACACAGCGCCTGAAGAATGCAGTTAAAAGAGCTTATTATGCAGCAGAGGTACGTTGTCTCTTCACAACCACCCCTATTCTACGTTCGAGAAATAAGGATAAACTACCTAAATTTGCCTCTTCTATGTGTATCTACCAGTTTGACTGCAGCTGCGGAGCCAGCTACATTGGGCGTACAATTAGGCAGCTTCATCATCGTATTTCCGAACATCATCCAACATGGTTAAGCAAGGGACAAACAAGATCTATTCGTAGCTCTATTTTAGCACACCTTGTTGACACTGAGCATAAAGTGGACGTTAATACAGCATTCAAAATTATTTATCGCATTCCAACTAATCTTAATTTCGCTCTACGAGTTCGTCTTCTACAGACAGCTGAAGCAATCGGAATCCACCTGAAGAAGCCAAACCTGTGTGTTCAGAAGAAATTTGTACAGCCACTTTCCTTACCTTGGCCATCGTTACATGAATGCATAAACCGGACTACTTCGCTCTCCTCCCCCTAAACATTTAAAAATGATAATTGTCCAAATTATTTTATTATTTTTTCTGACCACTTCATCTTTAATTATGTATTTATATTAGAGTAGAACCAGAGATGAGGATCTAGTTGAAAAGTAAATATTTCTTCGCTCAATCTTTCTGTTTTCTAAATGTCGAAATGGGGATTTTTCCCATATCTTAAATGACTCAACTTACTAAGAAAGCTGAACCTCTCGGATACTATTGGTCAGCTAACTACCTGAGCGTACTGGTTATACAAATTACATAGCTCTAAGCACAAGGAAGGTTCAGTTTCATAACTCAATTCCTAGCATTGAATAAACAGTTAAGCGGTATAGTGTACACCTTTATATTATTGACAAGACTCAAGAGACATGAAACCATAGTGAAGAAAAGTTACATTTCAAACATTGTACCATGCAAAACTCTTGACTATGTCATTGCAAATTCTGTCATCAACTGGCATCAATTAAAGAATCATTGAGTATGAAGATGTTATGTGCTGAACTAGTAATGAGAAGCCGTGGTGGTCAGTGGGAGATCCACCATATCGGATCCAAAGCAGGTGTGTTCATCAATGAGAATAGCATTAGTTGGTGATGGTGCCGTATCGCGCTACCCACAGTTAACCAATCATTGCGTTCTACCAGTGAACCCCATAAGTTCTTTGTCCGAGCACCGAAGGGAGGGGATGGGTTCATCATTAATGCACAATACCTAAAGAGTCTCAAACCTAGGATGAAATAATTATCTAAATGCTCTTATTCGTCTTCATTCAATGCCTTTGAAAATATTCGAAATCCATCCGCTCCCCCAAAAAAACTGGACTGGAATGTCATCTAGTAGATTCTTTCACCCTCTGAAAGAAAAACCAGATAACTCTTCTTCATAAGTACATCAGTAATGTGTCTGTGTACAACACTAATCCTATATGTCTTTCTTAAATAACCTTCATTTGTATTTTGAATGGAGACTAGTAACTAGTGTGATGTGTCTAGTCCTTTCTTCGGTGCAGACTGAGTTTTATCAGTCAGGTTTGTAATGTGGCCACCATTCTAGGTAGCTCGCCATCGCGGTGCAAATTGATTTGATGACATTAGATAGTTGGAGGCAATCGGCCACAGGAAGCCTTGGACCTAGGTGTCGTGTTAATTGGCACTCAACAGTCAGCAAAGCGTATTTGCAACCTTGAAGGAACTCATTTCCCTTCTGACATTCGAACCCGCGTCACCCAGTGCTACAGTCAGAGACGTTATTCGGGCTCGCGATTGACCTCCTGTAGGACTGTAGTGGGTATTTTCATTGGACACTAGTACCTAGTGTGACGTGTCTAGTCCTTTCTCTTCGTCGTGGATCTTCAAATAAACGATTTGATTGACAGGAGACCGTGTGACTGAGTTCTATCTGACCTGCAGGGCAAACCAATCCATCATCATGATATCCCTGCTTTCTTTCCTTCGAGAAAAACACGACGACATTTTGTTGAATGCCAATTATAAAGAGTTCAGGAGTACATTTTGTGAACCAATGTACACTACTCACGAATAGTGATCTCATGTATTGGGATCAGCTGCCATCGGGGATAATGCTTTTTCTCATGTTTAATAGAATTGAGACTTGCGAATCAGCAGGTTGTACAGGTTTTAAATACTCGTCAGAGTAAAGTGTAATACTGTAACAACAGAAGACAAGGGCCAGGCAACAGATCGTTTATTTAGGAAATCAACAGATATTTATAGATTTTCATGTCTGTCTTTCTGTCTGGATTCAACATAGAACTTGGCACCAAAGTCCAGCAGTTCGAATTGCCACGTTCCAAAGAGCACACAAAGGTAGACAAGAAAGTGAGTGAAGAGAATCAATAAAGTTTTGACAAGTATAAGAGTGAAACAGAATGAGTAATGGTAGAAAGGAATATGAAAGATTACAGAGACTGAATACATCTGCGCCACTGACAACGATTTTGAGCCATGTCACCTATTGTCTCCAGCCTTCATTGATTCTTAGAGTACCGAGGGTGGGCCCCGACCTGGAAGTCTGCATCTCCCTCCCTACCTGACTCAGTTTAACTGTCAAGGATTTCATGGATTGATGAGGCCATGTTTTTGTTTCGCCACCACTTACTCTTTTCCAACCTGCACCTATATCAGCTAGTAATGCCCGTCGGGAGGGGGTGGCGATGGTTAGGCATGCGCAGCACGTGACCTAGCCATCTCAATCTATGTAACTTTATAGCCTCTTCGATTGATTTTCCCTCCTTGCCCAACACTCTATGCCTAACGTCAACATTACTTACCTTATTGTGCCACCTAACGTGAGAAAGAGATCGTAAACATCTATGATCAAAAACAATCAAGCTTTTCATGTCTTCAACTCGTGTTGGCCATGTTTCAGAGCCAGTCATAGAGAAGGACGGAGCGAACAGCTGAGTAGTGCATACGTCCCTTGGTTGATAGTCGGATGTCACACCTACGCCAGAGATGGTGTAAGTTAGCGAAAGCAGCTCGAGCTTTTTGGATCCGTGCTGAGATGTCGCCAATCAAGATTTTCATGTACATTATTATAGATTATTGTTAGCAAACAAATACAGTCTTCTTATTGGTGATTTCTCGCTGAACGTTAATCTTTCATCTTTTTGTGGCCGTTTCTTGAAATTCAGAATATCTATCTGCAAATTGTATCCACCTACGCAAACAAAGTTTGCTGTGGTTGGTTGTTGAATCAGTCTTTCTTCTTGTTTTTTTCTCATCACCAATATTGGGGACGTAAACATTGATGTAGATTACTGTCTACCAATTTTGACTAGCAGCCAGCTCTCACCACAATACTACTAGAGGTCATATTTTAATCGACTTAAACAAACTGATGGAAGTTTTCGGCAGCCCAAGTTTTCAAGCAGGCCACCACGGCTAATATCTTCATGTGATAAATAACATTCATACTTTTGGCTTAAATAATTAATTAATCGATTAATTAATATTTTTCAGGTAATCAAAACTCAACATATTCCATATGGACTGCTGGTGTTGACGGTTCTCTGCAACTTGAATCAACACAACAAACACCCAACGATGACGATAGTGATAGTGATGAAAGCAATAATCTTAGTGATAGTGAATCTAAATACGAGTTCCAACTACACTTTCTTGGTCATGGTCGTGTTCTTATACAATCATTATTTCATCAACGTGGTTCTATTGCTTTAGTCAAATCAGAAGTGAAAGGTGATGTAAAATTGGATGTACCATCATCACCGGTAGGAGAGTTAACAGCTAATTATATTTGGGAAATTTAAACAAACAAACAAACCACTAAATTTATTTCATTACATTATTTTACAAGACAAAAAGTGTATTCATATATATCCATTTTTATTGATTGATTTATTTATCACCGATTAAAAATACATTTCATCATTTCAAGTAATATATGACGTCACCACTGCTGCCCACATCATTCATCACTCCCTCTTTTTATCTATTTAAAAATTTAAACTACTGATTTAACATTTCAGTAGTTTGTTTATCATTGTCAAAAAAAGTTCATCACATGAAATCTTAACTGTGTATTTCTTCAATATGCATATAAAGGTCATTATTACATTACAGATATGGAATGTTTCTGCATTTTTTTTTACTACTACTAATAATAATTCCTACTATTGGCATTTATATCTTTAATCAATAATGGTAATAATGTTTGAAAGGTATATTTCCCCTCCCTGAAGAATGTGATGAAAACACAATGCAACACACCTGAACACAAACACGTCGTAATAGTTGTAAATTTGTTGTGTTTTCTTTCTTTGATTGCTTGAAACCTTGTGAAATTATTGATATTATTATTATTATTTTTTCCACATGGTTTGCAAAAAACATAAATAAAATGTTACTATTTTTTGTGCTTCCTTCAAAAGCAAAAATATTTTCGAGTTTTGGTTTGCAAGGATTTGATTGGTTACAGGGTTTCATCATGAACTGACACTGGTTAGAGAACCATTGGAAAATGACCTGGGAGAACTGCACATCTGTTTCGTCCTGGTTCAGGACTCTTCATCGCTGCGCATTTATTCATTATACTATTATTCTGTTTATCAGCTTCTTTGTTCTAAATTTTATAAAAATGAAAACGCAGCGCAGAGGTCTGCAGTTAGATTCCCAGCTGATGAATTCTCGTAGACTTCACCCAATATTAGTAGTAGTAAGCTCAGGAAACAAGGAAAGTTGGGCGTGATTAAAAGGTTAGCAAACTCATTCGTAAAAATAGCATTACCACTACTAAAGCTTTAAAACTTTTGTGTAGCCACCCCCCTACCTCGCTGACTGTGTTCCACTTGTTTAACCCCAAGAAATGGAAAAAAAAAGTAATGAACTGTTGATTAGTTTGTGTGTATTCACTGTTGCTGTTTGTGAGGTACTTGACTGAAGGAGAAGAAACCATTATTACGGTGACTTAGATATTAAAGCGAAGCCTACGGGAGGAGGATCTAGTCGAAGATTAATATTAATAAAGAAGATTTGTAGCTCATGTGGATAATGGTTTTGTGGTTGTATTCTCTGAACTGGTTGATTTAATTGTGAAGCTCTCGTTGTCCCCTATCTAGACAACATCTTCACTGCAAGTTTTAGTACAAAATGGAGTTATTCTGCATGAGTGATAATATAATTGTATCTCCTGACAACCATCATCGTCATTCGTTGTTTGTTAATTTACATCTCTCCTGATCACTTTTACTGACTTACAATTTTAACTTTCTGGTCATTTGATTTATTTCTGATTGGTTGGTAAATTTGATCTCTACTAAGCGATGTGTTTGTTATTCGCTGATTCTTGAAAACGCAAAATAACGCAGGTAGTCAGCATTATGTGGTTGACATTGAGCAGAACAGTGAGAAACGCAGATCTCGGTCGGTTTTCGACATAGAACTTTGCACATATGTGCGGCAGTTCAAGTCGCCACACTCCCTCCATGTAGCACACAAAGCAAGAGAAGAAAGTAGGAGAAATGCATAATATAGACAGTAAACAGAGGTGTGAGACAAAAGTGTAGTAATAACGGAGAAGGAAAGTTTAATTGGAAATCATAAGTCACAAGGAGTGGATGCATCTGCGCCACTGAGAACGACTTTGAGCCATGTCACCAATTGTTTCCAACCATTGGTTTTTACTGTCCCGAGGACCCCAACCAGGAAGTCTACACCTTCCTACGTCACTGGCTTAGACTAACTGTTGTGGATTTCATTGACTGATGAAGCCATGTTTTCGTTTGACCGCCGCTAGCTCTTTTCCAGCCTGGCCCTATATCAGCTAACATTGCCCATTGTCGAGGAAGGCGATGACTAGGCATACGTAGCACATGTCCTAACCATCTCAGTCGATGTAATTTCACAGTCTCGTCTATTGATTTCTCCGCCTTACCTAGCACTCAACCGATGCCTAACCTCAATATTGCTCACCTTATTATACCACTTCACAAGGGAGATAGAACGTAGACACCTATGATCGAAGACAGCTAATCTTTTCATGTCCTCCACTCTCAGTGGTCAGGTCTCACAGCCATAAAGGAGGACGGGGAGGACTGCTGAGCAGTACACACGCCATTTGGTCGATAGTCGGATATCGCGTCTACTAAGCCAGAGACGGCGTAAACTGGCATATGCTAAACTAGCCCTCTGTATTCGTGCTGAAATTTCGTCAGCGATCAAACCGTTGGGGCTGATGGTACTTCCTAAGTAAGTGAAGCGGTCAACGTGCTCTACCACTTCACTTCCTATTTCTAATCTAGGGGTCGGTGTAGTCCAATCCTGCAACATCATGTTACATTTTACAGGGGCGAATCGCATGCCAAACATACGAAGATTGTTGCTCAAGGTGTTCAGTAGACTCTGCATTTTGTCAGCGTCCTCGCCTAGAAGGACTATATCGTCCGCATATTCTAAGTCGACGAGATTATTCCCCGGTAGCAAGTCAATCCCTGAGTCGTTGAAGTGTGTTAGGGTTAAGTCCATTAGTACGTCTATGATGAAGTTGAATAGGAATGGGGATAATGGGTATCCTTGACGGACGCCACTAGTCGTCACCACTTCAGATGACAACTCGCCATAAGCCCTCACCTGGCTGCATGAGTTTGAGTAGAGTGCCTTAATCAGTGCAATATATTTTCTCGGCATTCCCTTTCGATCCACGGAGTCGAAGGCCGCCTTCAAGTCAAGAAATATGACAATTGTTGGACGCCTAAAAGTGTGTCTATGTTCTAGGATCTGTCGGAGAGTGAAGATATGATCTATGCACCCTCTACCTGACCGAAAGCCTGCTTGATTTTCCCTAGTTTGTTCCTCCCGAGTTCTGCTTAGTCTGTACCTAGGATTTTAGAGACTATGTTCGTCAGGCTGATCCCCCTATAATTATCACATGAGGACTTGTCTCCCTTCTTGAATATTGGTATAATAAGTGACTTACCCCAGTCTGATGGAACCGTCTCTGATTCCCAGACGTTACGTAGTACCTTAGTTAAACTACATACATATTTAAACACCTCCGGAATAATTCCGTCGGGTCCTGCCGCTTTGCCTCGCTTCAGATTACAGATAGCTTTTGTGACCTCACTTACAGACGGCGGGCCAGTGTCTATATCCCATTCGGCTGTGTGCTGGATGGCGGGGAGGTTCAGAGTGGCTGTAGGCAAGTTAAATTGTTCCTCAAAATGTTCTTTCCAGCGTTCAAGGCGTCTATCCTGAGAGCTAATTAAGGAGCCATTTTTCTCACAAATAGTCTCACTTATGATTTGCCTTCTCCCACCCGTTTCCCTGATGAGTCTAAAGAGTTGCCTATCGCCGATGCTTTTTCCATCTCTTTCGCCTTTGTCACCCACCACTGTTCACGGTCCTTGAGCAGACTTTTCGTAAGTTTCCTTTTGTGCAGCTTTCGCTCCTCATTGAATTCGGAGCTCACCGGAATAAGTCTTCTAGCATCTATCAATTCGGATGAGGCAGTCGAAATCCAATAGTTTTTACTCACCTTTGGATTTGCCTTATTCACAGCTTTTACAGCTGTGATGGTAATGATAGTAATGTTAACAGCTAAGTTACAAGTTATTTCTGATAGCGTCGCCATAGACTACAGATAGGATAGAATAAAAGAGCGAATTATTTTGCTAATCACATTGTGTAAGTTGTAGGTTTATCGTTTAGGACGCTAATCAAATATGGTATCGTAGAGTTTCTCTACTTGGTTGTACGAGCATACAATGTTTTATAATGACTTCTATTCCTATCTGATGAGATGCAAGAGAAGGGAGTGGTGTGAATACAGGAGATGTTGAGAGTCAGACAATATGGATTTAGACCATTTCTCATATGAGTTCAGGTGTACATCGACTACACTAATAACGAGCTGGTTGCCTGAGTGGCACACCACTTGCCCTACTAACAACCTTTAATATCCTTCACCATATGACATAGTCTTTTTTGACCAGCCCAGTGAGAGCACTAAAGAACAACAGGTAAGATGCAAAAGTTAACAAACTTTAGAAGTAGAGGTTGTATGATACCCGACTGTCTTAACTTGTTAAAGTAGTAGGTTAGACGGAACATCTTCTTAAAAACTGACCAAGCCAGACCACAGGATAAAACTATTGCAAGGCATTTTATGCTAGAATTACTTCCTATTTCAATGCCATCTACGCTACACAAGCATCATTTAAACGAACCGGTTCTTGGAGATCACGTTTGTGCCGTAAGGTAAAGTTAACTGTCTGACATTTAGAGGGATTTAAGGTAAGACTACTTAAGAAAGACTTTGCTTCGCTGCGTAGGGCACTAAAAGCTGTTAGTAGGGCAAGTGGGATATCGTTAAACCAACTGGTTAACACCATAGTGGATAGACATATAATGTCATGTAAGAAACTAGCGAATACTATATTGTCAGACCCTGAGCATCCTCTCTATACACAGCTCTCTCCTTGCATATCATCTGGTAGAACTAGAAGTAACTATAGGAAGCTATATGCCAGGACTACCAAGTATAAAAACTCCACAATACCTTATCTGGCACAGCTGTTATGTGATGAGAAAACTGTTAGGCATGACATGATCAATTTACTGCGGCACTCTAACAAATAGTTCCCATTAGCTTTTGTTCTCCTTTCTTTGTTACTATTATATTGCTGCTCATATATTCTATTACAGACTAATTTTATATATCGTATCCTGTGGTGCACTGTTTAAATATGTGAATGTAATGCTGTTCTTTTTTATTTTATTTCTTTTATTTCTCTTTTTCTTTTTGTTGCTTTATATTTTTAAATCCTTATAAAATTTATGAGGTAATTAGATGCAATATTGTAATGAACGCTGAAAATTCCATACCTGTACCACAAATACTGTTTGGAATAAAGCCATTATTATTATTATTATTATTATTATTATTATTATTATTATTATTATTATTATTAAGACCATTTTAGCTTAGACCATTGGCTGATGTCCAATAAAAAGCTATTCAGTTTGCAACAGTCAGATTGGGATGTAACTGGTAGCAAGACGGTCAGATCGTCATAGTATTTAGGGGAGTTGAGGTAAGTCATATAAGAAGAAAGAAAAGAGAAACAGAGAGAGAACAACACCCACCTTGAGGGACTTCAGCGTCAGTAAGCAGGGCAGAGGAAGATTTGCCTTTACATACAGTATGTATTGCATTATGTTAGAGAAATAAGAATGCAACCATTATCATTGTCAAAGTCAAAAATCTCCCTGCTACTACTACTACTCTGCGTCATTAGATTCGTAACCACATAGGGAATGAGATCTACAGACAACCTTAAGCATTTATTCATCGGTTACTCACTATAAGAAGTTAGAAAAACGCACGAGAATTATTTTTATTACTGATAATCAAAAAAGTAGTTAAAAACGTATTACAGAAAAAATCTTGAAGCTTGAGGTCATATAACAAGTAAACGAAAATATTTGATGTGATGATTTATAACAATAAATGCCAATCGAATAGAATGATATACAACAGTCAGTTCATATACTCTTCATTCGATCACTCAATACATCATAAGAGCATAAAACAGTCGATCGTGAACCAATCATAAGACATAATTGTTTATCGCTGTCCATTGGTTTTCTTAAGAAATCTGCATATTGTAAATTGAAACTAGTATCATTTATTTGACTATTATTATTATTATTATTAGTGCTCAAAGTATTCGGTAGACAGGTAACATTCCAAATGGATTTATCATCATCATCTTGACGTGAAGAAAATACAGCTGGAGAAGTTCCTTCCTCGATTTCATCATCTTCATCATCATCGTCACCATTGGTGTTGTTGTTGTTGGCATATTCACCAAGCAGTAGAAATTCTTCAGATTTTTTGTCTTGAAGAATTACACTGAAAAATTTACGACCTTTTAATGAATTATTATTAATAAATTTAGAATTCCATAATTTTGTTTTTTTATTTAATTTTTCTTGTTCTTCTTCAGGTAATATTATCTCCTCCTCTTCTTCCCCATTATCATCAACAGTTTCACCACCTTGTTCTTTTTCACCCTCTTCATCTGAATCTCTTATTTTACCACTATTCGATATTAACATAGATGGATGAATTGGCCAAGCTCTAATATTTGATCTCATTGTTGTTGTACAATAGACACCGGCAATAGAATCATTCGACTCACCACCACCACCACCCGCAGCACCAGACGATAATAACCAACCACATGAACTGGCCACTGATTCTGAGTTGAACATCTGTTTGTTTTATTGTTGTGGTTGTTATTGTTGTAGTTTAATAATAGGCAAAACAGGTTATACAATTAATTTATAAGAATAATAATAAGAATATTAAATTTTCTATTGATTTTTAAGCGTTCATTTGTAGGAAATTCATCAGGGTGAAGTTAGACCACGATTGTTGTGATATATCAGTGTGAGTTAGCGGTTCAGCCATGCACGTGGTTCAGGGTTCAATTCCCCGCCAACGTATATCTTAACTTTCCCGCCCCCTTTGCCGGTTGTATGTCAGACAAAGAGGGGAGATCGGGCGTAAGCAACCCCCACCCCCACTCGTAAAATAAAACACCACTCCAGCATTAAACACCCCACCTATGATCCAACCGAAATTGATCGAATCCAGAACCTTCAGGTTACGAGGCAAGTTTCGTTGACTACTCAGCTCCTGGGGACGGGATCTAATGTCCCCCATGACCTTCCGGTTACAAGGCGGGCTAGCTGGTACACCATTAAGCTACTGGCAGCCGACTCGTCAATGGCCGGCACATGAAGTCTAACTTCTAACAGTTCGTGATTTTAGTGCGACTGGCACTAGACAATGGTCATCACTGGCGAGTATTTGTCCTCACTCGCGACCACTTGGTGGACCCTACTGGTCAAGACTTCCCACTAGAAGCCAGGCAACTACCTATCTGAATACAGCCAGTGGCTAGTGTTTTTTTTTATTACAGCTTGATTCCACACCGTATTTTTTTGGTACAGGTATGGAATTTTCAGCATGTGATATTGGTAGCCCAAATTTTGCAGGCCGACCATAGATATCAGGTGTGCGTCGGCAGGGGATCGAACCCCAGACCATTTGCATGGTTGTCAAGAGTCCTAACCACTGTGCCACCGACGCACAAAATACTTGTCACCGCCTCGAGGGTGGAGACGAGTTGAGTTGAAGTACCTGGGCGTCAGGTAAATATTTAAGTATTGGTTTACAGGGATTTGACTGGTTACAGGATGTGAGTGAGGTCAGGGATGAGGACAGATAATCGCTGATGACATCGGCTAGTGATGGTGTTATATCTTGCATTAGCAGAAGCTGGAATTCATAGACTGGCCATTGGATAGGGTCATAGTGGCTTAATAGCCTACTAGCTCGCTCACCTTGTAACTGTGAAAGGTCCTGGGTCCGAACCCCAGTTGGAGAGTACTGTGAAGAGTTCCAAACCAGGACAGTACACCTGTCGAATACTCCCAATTGGTTTTCCGTTGGTTCTCTAACCTATGTCACCTCATATGCACATATATATGTACATACTGAGTAGCTGGTGGTGACCAGTGTGACTACCTACTGAACGCACTATCAGTAATCAGTAATGACCTGAAGAGTAGAGCGACAAAATGTCTAAATAAAGTAATAATTCTGAATATCCGATATTTCAAATTCCCTTAGGCTTATAAGTATGTTTCTTTCGCTACTTATTTAACAACGATCACAAAATTGAAATTGAAAATTAATCTGATGCTCACTAGCGACTGGCCCTATTCAGGCAGTTAACCTCGGGTTCTAGTGGGAAGCCGTGACCAGTAGGGTACAGCAGGTGGAAGATGAGGCAGTAACTCATCGAAGAAGACATTGCGAAATGGTCGCGCTATGTCGTGAATTGGCAGAAGTTAGAATTCATGGGCTGGCCATTGGATCAGTTCCAAGCGGCTTAATGGTCTAAGAGCTGACTCGCCTTGTAACCAGAAGGTCCTGGGTTCGAACCCTGGCGGTGGGTGCGCACTGGTGAAGAGTCCCAAACTAGGCTGACGAAACAGCTGTCCAGTACTCCCAGCTGGTTTTCCAATGGTTCTCTAACTGATGTCAGCTCATGGAGAAGAAGAGGAAAATATAGAAAAAATCAATAATAATAATAATTTAAACTTACATATAAAAGGGTATTGTCTTGTAATGCTGCCGCTGCCTGCATATTGTACAAGCATACAAGACCATCATGAGAACAATCCAGCAAACGTGGATAACCGGATATCGATGTAGGATCAAATTTCACATCCACGATGTCTTCTGAATGAAAATCTTTAATACTACCCAACGGAGATGATAAACAACGTGTATCCCAGTAGACTAGATGAGCTGTCTCATCATCACTATCTGTAGAATCATGACGTTTCCGGCGTTTTTTCTTATCAAACTTTTTCACACGACATACTTCTGTTCCACAGCAAATCAGACTTCCATCTGGACTGATAGAACAACAGGTGTATGACAATCCATTGTTTGCCGAGTTGGTATTTGACTGTACTACAGGCTGGATTGACGAAGAGAAATCAATATGTATAAATAATATTATTACTGAATTGATGAATATATAAATGGTACTTAAACATAAGGCTAATTCAAGTATTGGTTTGTAGGGATTTGGTTGATTGGTTACAGGATTTCATCATGAGCTGACATTGGTTAGAGAACCATTGGAGAACCTGGAAGTACTGAACAGCTGTTTCGCCCCGGTCTGAGACTCTTCACAGTACGCACAGATCACCGGGGTTCGAACCCAGGACCTTCTGGTTACAAGGCGAGCCAGCTCTAAGACCATTAAGCCACTGGGACCCGATCCAATGGCTAGCCCATGAATTCTAACTTCTGCCTATTCACGATGTAGCGCAACCGCTAGTCAATGTCTTCGGCGAGTATTTGTCTCACACCCAACCTGCTGCACCCTACTGGTCACGACCTCCCACTAGAACCCCAGGTGACTACCTACCTGAATAGGGCCAGTCGCCAGTGAGCATCTCGTGAATTGGCAGAAGTTAGAATTCATGGACCGGTCATTGGACCGGGTCCCAGTGGCTTAATGGTCTACGGGCTAGCCTTTTAACCGGAGGGTCCTGGATTCGAACCCCGGTGGTGTGTGCGTACTGATGAAGAGTCCCAAACTAGGCTGACGAAACAGCTGTCCAATACTCCCAGCTGGCTTTCCAATGGTTCTCTAACTAATGTCAGCTCACGATGAAATCCTGTAACCAATAAGGCTAATTGTTCGTAATTGCACATTTTGTATAATCCAGCGGGGTCCACTAAGTTTTGTAAGAGAAGAGTTACTTGCCTATGATATTGATTGGTGGTTGAGCAGAACTTGGGATTCATGGGCCACTAGATTGGGTCCTAGTGGCTGAATGCTCTACGAGCTAGCTCGTCTTGTAACCGAAAAGTCGTGGGTTCAAACCCTAGTAGTGGGGTGGGTGCGTGCGTGATGCTGAAGATTCCCAAACTAGGCTGACGAAACAGCTGCCCAGTAATCCTCAATGGTTTTCCAAGGGTCCTCCAATTAATGTCAACTCGCGACAGAACATTTAAATTAAGATCCACTTTTAAAAAATTGAGGTCTGTCACGAGACGACATTAAAATTAGAGTTTGATTGAAAACCATCATGTACTGGAGAGGTGTTTCTACCTAATTTGCGGCTCTTCATCAGTACACACTAACAACCTTATCTAGGCAGTGGGGGGGGGTTGGTGATCACGTTGTATCACAAATACACAGAAGTATGAATTCAAGATTCACTGGATTCTAATCCGGTGGATGAATGTTCAACAGGCTCTCTCCTCGGAACCTCAAGATCTAGGTTTGCAGTCTAATGGGGAGTTCAGTAGGCGTTAATGAAGAGTCCCAAACTGGAACAAACGACTGCTCATTGTGCCCCTTGGTTTTCACTGACTCTCTATAACTGATGCTGACTCATGAAAAAAGTCTACATTAAAGAATTATAGTTCAAAAACTAAGACATATCTACATGTGGCCGTGTTTCCACTAATGATTTGGGATAGGGTCGTAACCTAATCAATAAATTATAATAAAGACATAAAAAAGCCTTTGAATTTAGCAGTAAGTTGAGAAGTCAAAGTACACCCTACTATTACACAGACTAAGCCGAACTCGGGAGGAACAAACGAGGGAAAATCAAGCGGGCTTTCGACCAGGTAGAGGGTGCATAGATCATATCTTCACTCTCCGACAGATCCTAGAACATAGACACACTTTTAGGCGTCCAACAATTGCCATATTTCTTGACTTGAAGGCGGCCTTCGACTCCGTGGATCGAAAGGTACTATGGAAATGTTTGACTGTGAAGGGAGTGCCAAGAAAGTACATTGCACTGATCAAGGCACTCTACTCAAATTCACGTAGCTGTGTAAGGGCTTATGGGGAATTGTCATCTGAATTGATAACAACCAGTGGTGTCCGTCAAGGATGTCCACTTTCCCCATTTCTGTTTAACTTCATCATAGATATTCTATTGGAAGTATCCTTAACTGAACTTAACGACTTAGGAATCGACTTGTTACCAGGGAATAGTCTTATGGAATTAGAATATGCAGACGACATAGTCCTGTTAGGGGAGGATGCTGACAAAATGCAGAGTCTTCTGAACACCTTGAGCAACAATCTTCGTATGTTGGGCATGCGATTCGCCCCTGTAAAATGTAAGATGATGCTGCAGGATTGGACTACACCGACCCCTAGATTAGAAATAGGAAGTGAAGTGGTAGAGCACGTTGACCGCTTCACTTACTTGGGAAGTACCATCAGCCCCAACGGGTTGATCTCTGACGAAATCTCAGCACAAATACAGAGGGCTAGTTTCGCATATGCCAGTTTACGCCGTCTCTGGCGTAGACGTGATATCCGACTATCGACCAAAGGGCGTGTGTACTGCTCAGCAGTTCGCTCCGTCCTTCTCTATGGCTCTGAAACATGGCCAATACGAGTTGAAGACATGAAAAGGTTGTCTGTTTTTGATCATAGATGTTTACGATCTCTTTCTCACGTTAGGTGGCATAATAAGATAAGCAATGTTGACGTTAGGCGTAGAGTGTTGGGCAAAGAGGGAAAATCAATCGAAGAGGCTATAAAGTTACATAGATTGAGATGGCTAGGTCACGTGCTGCGCATGCCTAACCATCGTCTCCCCCTCCCGACGGACGGGCATTACTAGCTGATATAGGTGCAGGTTGGAAAAGAGTAAGTGGTGGCCAAACAAAAACATGGCCTCATCAATCCATGAAATCCTTGACAGTTAAACTGAGTCAGGTAGGGAGATGCAGACTTCCGGGTTGGGGACCGCCCTCGGGACTCTAAGAATCAATGGCTCGAGACAATAGGTGACATGGAATCGCAGATGTATTCAGTCTCTTGTGTAATCTTTCATATTCCTTTCTACCATTACTCATTCTGTTTCACTCTTATACATGTCAAAACTCTATTGATTCTCTTCACTCATCTTCTTGTCTACCATTGTGCGCTATTTGGAACGTGGCAACTCGAACTGCTGCACTTCGGTGCCAAGTTCTGTGTTGTATAGTGTTTACATTACTGAAACATACGAATCGATACTACAAGAAATCACATTACGGTAATATCCACCTGATGTTGGGATGAAAGGAATTCATCTTACCGTATTCGCAATCACCATCATCATCATCATCGTATTGTTGAAGACGTCTTAACAACTACTGGAAAAATCAGTAGTTTCAAGCTAAGAGACCAAGGTACAGTCGGTTAGAATTACAAAATAAAGTGAAGGTACGGATCTCGAAAAATGTACACCTGGCTGATTTTATTTATTCGTTTTATTGGAGGGTTGATGGCATCGACATCATGCTAAACGCATAGAAACACGAGTGAGCTTACTGTGACTAACTGACTGACTGGTTTTAACATAGAACTTTGCACAGATATGCGCACCAGTTCGAGTCGCCACTCTCTCTCTCTCCATGTAGTACACAAAGCAAGGGAAGCGAGTAAAGAGAGATTCAAAAGAGAGAGAGAGCGATAATAAACAGAAGTGTGACCGAAAAACAATAATAGTAATATGGAAGAACAGTAGAGTTTTATTCGACAAATCACAAAGAGTGAATGCATCTGCGTTAACCAATGAAAACGATTTTGAACCATATCACCAATTGTCATATGCGATCATTTGGTTCTTACCATCCTGAGAACTCCAACTACGTAGCTGGATGGCTGGCCTAAACTAAATCGTATGGAATCCGTTGACAGGTGAAGCCATGTTCTCGTTTGACCACCACTAGCCAACTCTTTTCCAACCTAATCCATCCTATGGCAGTCAGCTAGCATTGCCCTGTGTCAAAGAAGGCGACGGCTAGACTAGGCGTGCGTAACACACGTCCTAACCATCTCTCTCAATCGATGCATCTACTTCACAACATCGTCGATTTATTTTCCCGCCTTAATTAGCCCTCCACTGATTCCTCACCTCAATATTACTCACCCACCCTATTATACCACCACCTAAACACACGGGGGATAGAACGGAGACACCTATGATCAAAGACAGCTAGACAGGCCTTTTCATTTCTTCCACTTTCAATGGCCGCTAGTATTTCACTCTAGGCTAACAACACGCTATATCAAATCAAAAATAACTTCTTCTACACACTACCGATCGGCTATCTAATGACTTTTATCTCTCACAGGAATTCAAACCCTGATGAGATCAGTTATTGACGATACGTGGTGATGTGAAGGGTATTCCAGCATTCATACTGATAGTTACACAAAAGTATCATGGGGTTGTTACAGCAAACTTTCATTTCATATCGCTTACACATCCAGGGAAATTTAAACCATAAACAAGCAATCAATATCTGACCAAATACATCAATAATGACTTTGCAGCTAATAACGATATGTTGTCCGTCCTAAAAACACTTTACTACAATTAGGAATAACATCGGTGACAGTAGGCAGTCAGCTTTGTCTTACTCCTGTGTTCACTTCAAACACCCAGCTGCGTTTTCCATTGTAGTTATCATCGTCATATGATTGTTGAATGAGGTTGATGCAGACTTGGGCCACTGCATTCCGTAGTGTTGAAGTAGTTCCCAATTTACTTCGCGGTCAACGCTGTCGAAGGTCCTTCCAAACTCGATCAAGTTGGGGTAGAGGTTTGGCTACCATTACATGCTTTGTTTGATAATGGTGAGTAGAGTTGCACTTTGATCAGAACACCACTTGCCTTTTCTGAATCCAGCTTCTTCCGGGCTAGTGGAGTTCTCCATTCAGTACATCTCTTATAGCCTCACTCCGTTTTTAGCTTGACGCGCACAAAAGCATGATTCCGTGCAAGTTATTCCAGACGCCTAAGTCGCCCTCCTTTGGCAGTTTGACAAGGTAGTCGGCCTTTCTTCCTATCAGTAGGCATCTTTCCTTCCCTTCAAACATTCTGCAATAGTCACGTCAGCATATCCGTCTAGTCTTACTGCCTTTCCGGAGCTTGACTGCATTCAAGATTTCTGGTTTTGTTGGTAGATTGGTGTCCACTGGCAGTTCTGCGAGTGCTGTTGGTGGTAGTGGTATTTCTGGGTGAGTTGCAGGCAATGGTCGATCCAAGAGTCCTTCAGAGTGGTCATCCCATTGTTGCTCCTCTTTGGTAATTAGCTTCCCTTGACCATCTCTTTTTGGTTTCATCCCCCTTGTCTTATTACTTGGTAGTCAAACCATAATCTGGCATGAAACTCGGGTCTCTTTGATGGTTAGATTTAGGCACGTGGGGAGGGAGTGTAAACTATCTGGTTGGTGCCCTCAAAATCCTAAGTCCCGAGACCGTAGACATTTAGTAACGTCTCAAAATCTTTCTCAATGGAGATGTATTCCCTCTTCATGAACTCCGAGATCCATCAAATCCACGTTATTCTCCATATACTCATGCTCTTTACGATAAATTCCTGTCAAATGAAGTCCCTTTGAATTACTTTTTGTCTACTTTGTGTGCTATATAGAACTCGGAAACTTGAACTGCTGTGATTTTGCGCACATTTCTTTATTGAAAACTCAATCAGTCAGTTCACAGAGATTCGCTCTAATTGCGAAGTGCAATGTTGAAGGTAAACGTAGATCTAAGGACTCGAGTGTTCGTCATGTACCTATTTATGTCAACATCTGACTGTATGTTTTTAAGATTTCACTGTGAATATTTGTCACTCAGGTAGGTGATACATTTGTTGTTATTACGTTTTCGGAGCCTAATAAATGTTCAAGTGTTGGTTTGTAGGGATTTGATTGGTTACAGGATTTCATCATGAGGTGACATTAGTTAGAGAACCATTGGAAAACCTGGGAGTACTGCACAGCTGTTTCATCTTAGTTTGGGACTCTTCATCAGTACGCACACACCACCGGGGTTCGAACCCAGGACCTTCTGGTTACAAGGAAACCCTGTAACCAATCAACCAAATCCCTACAAACCAACACTTGAATATCAATGAGATGCTCACTAGCGACTGGCCCTATTCAGGTAGGTAGTTACCTAGGGTTCTAGTGAGAAGTCGTGACCAGTAGGGTGCAGCAGGTCGGGTGTGAGGACAAATACTCACCGAAGACATTGGCTAGGGGTCGCGCTATATCGTGAATTGGCAGAAATTAGAATTCATGGAATGGTCATTGGATCAGGTCCCAGTGGCTTAATGGTCTAAGACCTGGCTCGCCTTGTAGCCAGAAGGTCTTGGGTTCGAACCCTGGCGGTGGGTGCGTACTGATGAAGAGTCCCAAACTAGGCTGACGAAACAGATGTCCACTACTCCCAGCTTTTCTAATGGTTCTCTAACCACCAATGTCACCTCATGATGAAATCCTAATAAATATCTTTCTAGACATTGAAAGCTTTGCGATTATCCGACCAGTTTAGAGAAGACAATAACAAATACACCGAAATGTATTAAGCTACTTGATACATTTACTTTCTTCAATGAGGAGTTGGAAACATATATCAAGATTGATATTACTTTGTTCCTGACACCATCATAATTCCTCACTGTATATTTCACCTTTATTTTATACGGCTGTCGAGTCTGAGAAACAGATTATGTTGTTAGAAAGCATGACTTCATAATAACACAATATTCAAGTAGACAGTAAACATTCTGACTTGGTATAACTTGGTGATAGGGAAGGGTTGATAAAATCTTTATGCAGTGTGTACTACTACGTGAACACTAGTGTTCGTCTGCTTATTTATATTCACCAAAAGTAATACATATATATTTTGAATAACAACAAATGTGGACTGACCGGCTATTTGATCTCAACTAGAAATACGAAAAAAGAAGGCAACAAATACTTAAGGTTCACACACTTACCTTTGAATTACTTTCTCTCAAATCCCATAAATGCACATCACCTTTCTGAGAACAGCCCAGCAGTAAATTCCTTCCCGATGAATAGTCGATATCCACAAGGTTACTTTCAACAGATATCTTTCTACTACTACTGCTATTACTGTCATCATCACCACTGTCCATTTGCATTGTTGATAAGTGAATTAAATGCAACTGAAATCCTCTGACTTGATATACCATATCATGATTATTATGTGCGACCAGAATATTTTCACAATATTTTTGTGGCAAATGACTTATAATATTTAACATGCTTTATTAGTGAGATATTTCTGCGAAGAAGAACAAATGTTTTCAGAGATTCGATGATTATTCTCTAGTTTATAACAATTAATTTGAAAGTGTAAAAGTGGACATAAGTGATGCAGTTCGACTACATAAAACCACCACAAATGAACAACAGTATATTGGTACTAATTCATAACTTAGTTTTATCACTAGTGTCTAGGTGATTAAGTGGGCAGAACATATGGCTTCAGGGGGATATCTGCACTGCACTCAGTCCTCTGCCATCACTTTTAACTGGCTCCATAACTACTTATCGTAATTCCCTCTTCACAAGGTAACCTGCATGTAACGCCCAGTCGTCTAATCAGTCGTTACCCATTTACTTTCTACTCGACAGCTGGGCATATGATGCCACTTCAAGGTCTCCTCAGAGTTTGCCCAATCCCTCTATATTTCTGCACGTTTTTGAGATAATAGGTTCGCTGTCTGCCGGAGCTTCTCATAGCTTATAGTTTCGGGTAAGACATGCAATCTTTAGTACCGAGAGAAGACGTCTGTTGATGAAGGTCGTCAGGGCCTTGTTGAAATACAACTGATGAAGTGTGCACTAATCCTCTGAACTAATTTGCAAGTGAAAAAATTAGGGGTAATTTCTCGGTAGATTAATCTGAAAGTTTTGAGGGAACCTAGTGAAGTTCACCCGAGTTCCTCGAAACATAAAATGCTTCAAGAGTACCTACAATATTCTCTCAAATTCGCACTACACGGCTAAAGTAACATAAAAACACCAAATTTTCTGACGTGATATGTAATAGCAGTGACATAACATTGGCGTTAGCAATTAAAATTTAATTCTTTGAGCTCTTTTTTTAAGTTGTGAACTTTCGGTGTACAAAAATCGGAAGAGTGAAAGAAAGAAAGGGAAAAACATATCACGTGAAAATGTGACGCACTTACCACAACAAGCGCCTTATGATGGTTCAGATTCAGATTTCCAATATCGTTTTTACGAGCTAGTATAAACCAATATGATTTCTTTCTGCTCACCTCTTGATTGTGAGGTATAGGTTCCTGATCTTCGGTAAACTTCTGCGTAGCTCGTCCTGCCACTCGACTGTCGTAGCTTTGGTTGACTCCAAAAGGAGTAGTGCTAGGATTAATTATATGTGGTTTGTAGTGTGAGGTGTGTTAAGACTGTTACTACTGTGAATTGAGCTGATCTTTTCATCAGTTAGTCCTACGGTATCATCGTCGAAAGAGAAGAGATAATAATAATATACATAATTAGTGAAGTTATTCAGACTAACAGACAGAGAAAGGAATAAAGAAAACGTAAAAACAGACAGCTGATTAGATCTGAAGTTGATATACATATCAGTAATAATAATAATAAGTGTAGTTGTGGTGAGAGCTGTCTACTAGCCAAATCGGTAGACAGTAATTTACGTCAATATTTACGTTCCCAAGATTTGTCATGAGAAAATGTGAACAAAGATTGACTTTGCGTAGGCGGATGCAGTTAACATATAGAGGATTTGACATTCAAGAAACAGTCACAAATAGATGAAAGATTAACTTCACGTGAGAAACAACCAATCGGAAGACTGTGTTTGTTTGCTTAAATATCCATAATAATGTACATGAAAATATATAAATATGTGTTGATTTCCTTAATAAATGATCTGTTGCCTGACTCTTGCCTTCTGTTGTTACATTTGGTGTCGCTGCCTGTCGCGAAATGAAAGTCCCATGGCCTGCAGCTTTCGAAGAAGGAGACATATGGATCTTCTTAAGGGACTTCGAAGCTATTGCAGAGTTGAATGGTGTGCAAGAGCCATCAGCGAAGATGGTTGTTCTTGGAACGTTACTGAGAGGCCGGGCGAAGGCAGCATATGATAGTGTGAGGCAAACAGAGGGGCAACCAACTTGGAAGTCAGTGGTGGAACGCTTGAAGCAGGAGTTTGACAGCCCGATGGACAGAGAGCGGGCAATGCAGCGGTTTCGCACCATGAAGCTGGGAGTTGACGGTGACCCTCTCGTATTGACGCTGACCTTGACAAGCCTACTTCGTCGCGCTCTACCGTCACTGGACGAAGATTCTGAGGCACAAATGTTGGCATCCCAGTTTATGGAGTGTCCCAGAACATATATCCCAACAGCTACATCTGGTTAACGCCGTACAGCCACTGGACATCGGAGAGCTTGCGAAGGTGACCCGACAACTGTTGAGTAAGACGGTTGCAGCGGTAGGGCCACCAAAATCCGAGCAGTGTGAGAAACAAATCGAAGAGTTGCAACGTGAAGTGGCCGCGCTGAGACTGAGCGTGCGGAGAGACCGGTGTTTCGCATGTGGCAAACTGGGGCACTGGAGAGACCGCTGCCCGGAAAGACGACAAAGAAGAATTTTTAAAAGATATACTATGTCTTCTTCCTGTGTTCCGAGACTTGAGGTAATAGGGGCGATGGAGAAGGGGGCAATATATTCGAAGTTACGGGTAAATGATCGTGAGTTGGTGTGTCTAATCGACACAGGAGCTGCAGTCTCACTCGTAGATAGGAGTCTATGTGAGAGTATAAGACCGTGTTCGTTGACAGTGCAGACAGTAGGCGGTCACGTGTTAAGAATCGCAGGGGTTTCAGATTGCAGGGTTATAATTGGAGAGGATTGCGTGACGTTCCCATTCCTGGTTGTACCTGAATTGCGCCGAACAATCCTTGGGGCCGACTTTTTGCGAGAAGTGGATGCAGTGATTAACATGAAGAAAAGGGTTGTCGTTACGAAGTACGGGTGTTTTAGCATGCACGCGAATAGTGAGGTAGCAGGGATTGCGGCATCGGAAGTCCGAAGTATAGCAAAGTTACTCAGCAAATACGATCATCTGTTTACTGGAGATGGGGACCCATACGGTTATTGCGATAAGGTGAATCATGAAATTCCGTTAAGTGGCCCGAAAGTAACGTCATTTACCACACGAAGAGTTCCATGTCATTTAGAAGGCGAAGTTGAGCGACAGGTGCGAGAGATGTTAAAAGATGATATTATTGAAGAAGCTGATAGCCCGTACAACTCTCCAGTGCTGTTAGTAAAAAAGGCGAATGGGAAGTATAGATTCTGCGTTGATTTTCGACAGTTAAACAGTATGACAGAGTGTGCCATGCCAACAGTAGTTGAAACTTTAGATCGCCTACAAGGCGCGATCTTCGCTCAGGATACTGGCAGATACCGATAAAGCCAGGTGATAGAGATAAGACGGCATTCATCGTGGGTCAGACACAATATCGATTTAAACGCACGCCGTTTGGACTAGCAGGTGCACCGTTCACGTTCAGACGACTGATGACGCTATTACTTAAGAACTTGAAAAACGTTGAGGTGTACGGTGATGATCTCGTCATATATAGTCAAAACGAAAACGATCATGTGAACCATGTGGAAGCCGTGCTGCGACGCATCAAAGAGTTTGGACTGCGCGTCAACAAAACCAAGTCTCAGATAGCCAAAAAGAATGCAACTCTTTTGGGATATAAAGTGGGAAATGGTGAGATTAAACCACTACCGGAGAAAATCTTGACGATAAAGACGATCCCGGCCCCGAATTCAAAGAGAAAATTGAGACAATTCTTAGGTAGAGCAGCGTTTTATAGTCGCTTCGTGAAGAACTCCAATGAGATAGCAGCCCCTCTGTACAGGCTACCAGGTGAACCGAAGTTTGTTTGGTCGGAGGAATCGCAGAAGACATTCAACAGGATTAAACAGCTGCTCGACCACCAACAAATGACACTAAAGCTACCTGTACCTGGAAGACAGTTCACAGTGTGCACAGATGCCAGTGACTACGCCATAGGTACGGTCCTAAGACAGGGTGAGGGAATCGTTGAGTATGCCAGTCGGGTTTTGACACACACAGAGCGAATGTATTCAACGATAGAGAAAGAATGTTTAGCGATGGTATGGGCAATCGACAAATGGAGACCTTATTTACTCGGCCGACGGTTCCACATCAAAACGGATCATAAGCCGCTACAGCTTCTGAAGACAGCGAGAGACCCACGAGGGAAATTGTCACGGTGGATGCTGCGTCTTCAGGAGTACGATTTTACCATCTCACACGTTCCCGGAAATGAAAATGTCTTGGCAGATTTGTTATCGAGACCAGAAGACGAGTCTGAGTTACCCGAAGTCGCGTACGGAGTGCATGCAGTAGAACAAGACCCACTAAGACTGGCACGCAAACAAAGGTTGGACGATACGCTGAATACAGCAATACAGGTGATCACTAACGGAATAGAAGTGGATCCAGCTACAGTGAGTAAGGAGCTAACCACACTACTCAGACAGATAGATCGACTAAGAGTGAATGTCTACGGGACTCTGAACTGGCGAGAGGACGACGGAAGCTGGCTAGTTGTCATACCTCAATCGTCGCGCCACGACATGATAGAAGAATGCCACCAGCTAGCACATACCGGAGTGGCCAGAACAACCGATCTCTTGAGACAAAGTATGTACTGGCCAGGTATGAGAGAGGACGTAGCAGGATATGTACTTGGATGTCCACGGTGCCAGCTAATGAAAGGCGACCGGTGCATACGACCACCACTTCAGTCGATTCCAGTTACGGCGATAGGTAACTTGTGGTCCGTAGATGTTATGGGTCCATTTCCTCAGAAATCCAATGGTAATCAGTACCTCTTGGTGATGATGGAACACGCGACACGATGGGTAGACACCGTAGCAATCCCAGACCAACGCGCAAGGACCGTGACAGATGCAGTAGTTAGATATACCGTTGCAGACCACGGCGTACCAAAGACAGTGCTGAAAGACCAAGGTCCGTGTTTCGAAAGTGAAGAATTTACTTCCTGTTTGCAACAGCTGGGCATCAAGAGGATCCGAACGACCCCATACCATCCACAAACGAATGGCCTGACGGAGAGAAACAACCGTACGCTGAAGGAGTGGCTGGCCTCGAAGGGCGGTAACTGGGAAACGGAGCTGCCACTGATTCTACTAACACATCGTGCCACCACCCAGGAAATAACGAAAAAGTCACCCTTTCAACTGATGTATGGTAGAAAACCACGATTACCGATACACAACGAAACCTGGCCCCTTCACCAAAAGTGGAGTACGACGAAATTAAAAGCAGAACGGAAAGAAGCCGTCAAGAATGTAATGCAGAAGCGGCGGAGGGATGTCGTGAAGTCTCAGCTGAGAGAAAAGACTCAGTGCATTACCTTCTCAGTTGGGGACCAAGTGAAGTGTAGAGACAGAAGATATGCTGTCGGATGCGGGCCAGGTTCACGCGAACTCCTTCCAAAGTGGGAAGGACCATACACAACCACAAAAAGACGGGGTCAAGTATATACCATCAGAAGAGGTGACAAACAAAAACGAGTTAACGCCAGTCAGATCCAACGATGGGTGCATTGGGACAAGCCAGTCTGTGACAATCATCAACGAGAGAACGCATCACCCAGAAGGTCGGAACGCCTGCGCACGAAGCTATTTGACGGGGGGACGAGTGTGGTGAGAGCTGTCTACTAGCCAAATCGGTAGACAGTAATTTACGTCAATATTTACGTTCCCAAGATTTGTCGTGAGAAAATGTGAACAAAGATTGACTTTGCGTAGGCGGATGCAGTTAACATATAGAGGATTTGACATTCAAGAAACAGTCACAAATAGATGAAAGATTAACTTCACGTGAGAAACAACCAATCGGAAGACTGTGTTTGTTTGCTTAAATATCCATAATAATGTACATGAAAATATATAAATATGTGTTGATTTCCTTAATAAATGATCTGTTGCCTGACTCTTGCCTTCTGTTGTTACATAGTTAGAGTTGTCAGGAATGTAAGACGGGAGAGAATGTGAAGAAGTAAAACGACGAATTTAGTTGTCTACCCGTGAATGGTGTATGCGATTTTAAGGGGATAGGCCATTTGAACGCAGTCCTTGTTGTACTGCATGATTGTCCAGCCTTCGCTTAAAGGCGTCCATAGACGGTGGCATAGCCACATCTGCCTGTAAGGAATTCCAGGAACGGCAAACCCGCAGTGAAAATAAGTGGGAGCGCACCCGACTCCTTGCCCTCTGGTGAGCTATCCTTCTGGGATTTCCACGAGGGAGGCTATAACTACTCAATGTTAGAACACCTTTGTTTGGGTGATTCTGGTCATTTGTTATTTTGTAGGCAGTAATTAATTCCCCCTTAGGCCGCCGGTAGCTAAGTGTGAATAGGTCTAATTTCTTCAGCCTTTCGTGATATGGTTTATTTTGGAGACCAACCACTCTTTTTGTCGCCCGTTTTCGGACTCTTTCCAAGAGGTTGGTGTCTCTTCTAGGCAGTGCGGTGCAATAATATTATATACTTCAAGGCGTGGTCTGACGTATGTTTTGTGCAACCTTAAAAACAGCTCAGGAGTCAGCGCACCTAACTGTCTATGTGTAAAGGGTATGATGATGCCTGTGAACTGACGTCCCTCATGTACAAAAATGAGAATATATTATTATTATATATTGTCCCTAAGTCCCTCATTTAATTTACGCTTATATCCATTTTGTCCGTTAGAACTAAACCTAAGCCGCGCTCCGAAGTAGGCTTGGAGCCTATGTTAACACTTTTCTAGTAATTTTCTGGGCTTGTCCAAACCCTTCTTGAATGAATCAATTGTGGTTTCAGACACCACTTCTTCTGGCAGTCGGTTTCAAGAGTGTCTGACTCGATGTGAGAACGAGTACTCCACAGCAATATGATTTCTTCTTGGCTTCTGAAGCCCCACCCCTGCTATGTCCTCTAATATGTTCCGACCTGGTGGGAAGGAAAAGAGGGAATAGGTCAGGTCCGTAGTCATTATTTAAAATTTAAAACGTCTCAAATGGGATGCAGTGGCCTATGGAACTTCTTCACTATCGGGATGATGTCACCCTGGGTCCTGTGGCAACTGAACGCGCACAGATTCAGCTGCTGAAATCCGTTGCAATACGGTGGCTTACCTTTATACCCTTTCCAGGAGGCGCATCCCTCTATGAGAAAGATGGTGCATTGTAGACTTCTAAAGTAATCACACATCTTTTATAAACCTGTATAAAATGTTTGGGTATTTTTACTCCAACCTGCCTACGCACAGAGGAAATTTCGCCAGCGATTCTATCTGCGTCTCCTGCATAGTCCACACTTGTGTCTGACCAATCTAACAATTGTTACCAGAGGTCATATTGTGTGGGGAACATGTTGGTTGCACATAGGCAACTTGGTAATCTTTTTCCACCGTTATGCGAATTAACACTGGTCAACATTGATTACTATTGAAGGCTAACATAATTTCCATAATGGTTGGATCTTCCTTGTTCCTCATGGCCATCAACAGCTTTGCATCTTCTATGCAGGGGAGCGCTGGAGATCTTTAGTTTCTCGAGAGATCGTTATGAAAGCAAACATAGGTGGCATATTATGAACGGCTCTTTGTGGTATTACAGAATGTGTTTCCCGTCACGTAGGTCATATAGTGGTCTGCTTGTATATTGGTCAGCCAAATATAAAATCTTCCACCAAGTCCCATATGCCTAGATTTGCTCCTATACTGTCTAACCAATTCCCATTTTCTTTAAGTCATCCTTTTTACGATCGCATACTTTTAAACTACTTCCACCCTATCGCGTGGGGTGAGGAAACACGTTATCGTGATATATTATCGCGCACTGTATGGGTTATCGCGTTCACGCCTATAGAGACGTTATAATCGTTCAGTCTTGCAAAAACAGATAATATTTGACTCGTTTTAGGCTTCCGTAGCCGACCAACTACAACCCACCTTCCTAAGATAATGTGATGAACTTATATCCATAATGTTGCTGAGCAGTTAATATTCTCAACTCCTGTCGGAACAGCTGAATTTCATAAACCTTCCTCACGCTAAGAAAATACACACAAGCAGTAGAAATCCATTAATTAATGCGTCTGAAGCTTATATATTTACTCCCAACAATGACATTTCAGATCAAATGAGATAAACATATCACTGATTTCAAAATAACACATCAATGAACTATAATTCAAGGATTCTGCACACAACAAAGTTATGTATGAAAATTGACTTCAAGCTTTATTTTTTTTCCCAGGTACTTATAATCCATCCACCAAAGACCTGGTTTTTTTGCTAATGCGAAGACAATACCTCTGTATTTCCTGATGTGTTGCACTCACTGACAATCTAGCAGATTTTTCCAGCTGTGCACAGAAATGATTGTATATAAGTTAAAAGGCTTTTTTATATTACTGAGATTAACATTTATCAAGTGTATGTATAATCTCCAGCGAACATGTAAAGCATGTCTTGCTGCTGCCTGTAAATTGTGATTGAATTACATGGTTCTATTTCTGTAACAATTTGAGGATCCCTTTAAACTAGCGTCCCTCATGTACTGTACTATGAGAATAAATTTATTTTATTTTATTTATTCTGGATGTGAAAGCTGACAAGAATGAAATGGTAATAAAATTTAGTGATGCACATCCATCGCTCATCTTCACTTGTGAAGAAGAACATGATGGTAGACTACATTTCCTTGACGTCCAATAGAGGAGAAGAGAGGATGGTTCACTCAAGAGAGATGTCTGTAGAAATTGATACAAGTATAAAACTTGGGCACTGTGGTAGAGCATAACTCCATTATGGATAAGAGGTTGTTTTGATAAATCAGTGTTGTACAGTAATATTAACTGATGACGTTTCGAGCATAAACTATTGCATTTGTAGGACAATATACACATTTCCTCAGTTTTGTACCGATCCGATACAAAGTAAATTTGATCAGATGCCTCACGAATAGAGCAAGACGTATCTGTACAGATGAATCCCTACAAAATGAGTTAGGATACATCCAAAATACGCTGGTCTAAATGGGTTATCCTAGTAGATTTGTTAGGAGACACATGAACACCAAGTACAATAAAGAGAAAATGACAACAGTTGAAAAGAAACAACTGTTCATGAAATTGCAATTTAATGGGGACGTCGCTAGCGAAGTCTTACATCTGAGATTATCGAGAGCGATAAAACGGACTTATACTGCCGCCACCCTCTTTTTGTCATTTTCCAACCGGCCAATTATGATTGCTGAAGTGAAAGACAAGCTACCTAGCTGTGCCACATCTATGTGTATCTATAAATCTAGTTACTCCTATGGAGAGAGCTATGTAGGGAGAACAACTAGACAGCTTAACAAACGCATCAATGAGCATCTTCCTTCATGGTTTGGAAAAGGTCAGATAAAACCTATATTATTATTATTGTTCCCTTGGGTTCCTAGTGGAACACAGGGCTTCAACTGCACGCCTCAAATTGCTTCTGTCTTGTGCTGTACTTTTCACTTGCATCCATGTTAATCCATACTGTTCCAGTTCCTCATCACATGATCTCCTCCATGTCACCCTTGGACGTCCCGATAAAACCTATAAGAAGTTCTATTTTGGCTCATTTGATTGATGGTGGTCACCAAGTGGACAAAAATAGTGCCTTCAAAGTTGTCTTCAAAGTTGCATTCCATAGAGCCTTTCGAAAGGAATTCGAATCCGTCTTTTACACAGCCGAAGCTATGGGAATTTGAGAGAACAATCCTAGTCTTTGCATACAAAAGAAGTTTGTTCTGCCTTTGCCTCTCTTTTGCTTGCCTAGGTGAATTCTATTCAAAACCTTCCCACTCTTTCTTATTTGCCATCTCCTTCGTATTTTTATGTTATTTATTTAAAGTCTGATTATCTGTTCATTTCACCATTAGTATTACGTAACTTTTAAGATTTGACCGAATTTATTTATTGAATTGTCTACATATACATATATTACTACCTTTGTTATTCTTATCGCCACCTTCGTAAACCTTATTATCAATATTTTGTTATCACGCAACACGCCGAAAAATTTCAGCCAATCAGAGTGCAGGTTTTGTAGAGGTGGTTATTCGAAATCAAATTTTAGCTTTATATGTACTCGCTCAGTGCATTTCTCCTTGTGCTTTATTATTTTTTTGAAGTTCAAGTACTTTATTAGGCAAAGTTATATTTGAGCAGCAACATCAAATGACCGTCATAACTGTACCTTGAAGAACACATCATACTAAAGGAGCTAGAGCATAGCGCTGTATCAGAATCAATTAATTCATGCCTGCCGTCATTGCCTTGCTGAAGGAGTTTGAAGAAGAGCGAGTGTTTGATTACTGTGTTAATAATGGGTTAATTGGACGTACTAAGACGTGTGAATGTGGGGGAAAGATGTCAATTCACCTGTACAATGCCGTAATCGACAAATTTGCTTATAGATGTAGTAGTTGCCGTAGGAGGAAGTCGGTTCGGGATGGTATGTTCTATACTTAATTATCTGTGTAGGAACCTTTTTCTCTAAATCAAAGCTTTCACTGTCAAATATTCTCTACCTGATGTACTACTGGGTTATGCAGAGACCAGTGAGACGAACAGCTGCCGAAACAGAGAACAGCCTTGTTTCTACGATGCAGTGGTTTCAGTATTGCAGAGACATCGCCGCTTCGATGATGAACGAAATCTCCTCTTCATTAGGTGGAGAGGGTGTTGTAGTGCACGTAGATGAAATTGTTCTTGATAAGAAGAAGAGTAAAAGTGGACGTAAACTTATGGTACTTGGACTTTATGATACAAATTTAAAAAAAGGCCTGATGGAGATGGTACCTAACAGAAGTGATGTGTTCCTGTTACCTATAATAAAACGCCTAGTCAAGCCTGGATCTATTATCTACACAAATAACTGGTCAGGATACGGACAACTGTCTGAAATGGGTTACGTACATCATATTGTGGAGGATTCCTCTGGTTTCGTTGATCCAACTACTGGAAAACGGACTGAATCTATTGAGAAACTCTGGAGATGTTTGAGGAAGACAATCAAGTCTGTAAGAAGCTCGCAAAACGACCTGTTAAACAGCCACCTAAACGAAGTGATGTATAGAAAGTGGTTTAACCTTTCTGTCAATACTCCAATGAAGAATTGGGAGACTTTTATACAGCATGTTAAAGAATGTCATCCTTTTGAAAACTCAACTATCTAGTTATTAGTAAGTATGAAATATACCTTTCTACCTGTCTACGAAGTTTTCTAGAATATGGCTGTCCGAATTGTTTACGCACATGTGGTAAGTTGGTCATTCCTCTGTCATTACTGTTTTTTGAGTGTTATTTGAATAAATTACTAAATAAACTTCGGAAACTCGCTTTATTGATGAGCATAAGAAGAATTTATGAGGTAATACGTTCCTCTTGGAGTATATTCCAACTATAATAACAACGTTTAACTGTTCTGTGAACTGAGAATATTGTACTAACTGTGGATAGTTCATTAAAATACATTACTTCGTAAGAATGCCAAAAAAATACAGAGGGTGAATATTTGACGGCTAGGTTATTTTATATTAGTACTTAAGCAGATTTGTATGTATGTGACTATATTCTAGGGAATAGTCTTGTTGACTTAGAATAATATGCGGGTGATTTAGCTGACGCTGACATTATGCTGGGTTATCCGAACACCTTGAGATGCAATCTCCCAATGTTTGGTATTAGATTTACTTCCATTAAGTGTGAAATGATGCTACGGAACTGGAGAACATTAGCTCCCAGCTTAAAGATAGGGAGGCGTTGAAGTGATAGAGTGTTGACCACTTATTTGGGAGGCTGCATCAGCTCCAAAGGACAGATGGCTGACGAAGTTTCAGCACGGATACAGAAGGCTGATATGGCATTCGCCAACACCCCGCGCCCGGTTAGGCATGCGCAGCACGTGACCTAGCCATCTCAATCTATGTAACTTAATAGCCTCTTCGATTGATTTCCCCTCCTTGCCTAACACTCTACGCCTAACGTCAACATTACTTACCTTATTATGCCGCCTAACGTGAGAAAGAGATCGTAGACATCTATGATCAAAAACAGTCAACCTTTTCATGTCTTCAACTCGTATTGGCCATGTTTCAGAGCCATAGAGAAACATGGCCAATACGAGTTGAAGACATGAAAAGGTTGTATGTATCTGATCATAGATGTTTACGATCTCTTTCTCACGTTAGGCGGCATAATAAGGTAAGTAATGTTGACGTTAGGCGTAGAGTGTTAGGCAAGGAGGGGAAATCAATCGAAGAGGCTATTAAGTTACATAGATTGAGATGGCTAGGTCACGTGCTGCGTATGCCTAACCATCGCCTTACCCTCCCGACGGGCATTACTAGCTGATATAGGTGCAGGTTGGAAAAGAGTAAGTGGTGGCCAAACAAAAACATGGCCTCATCAATCCATGAAATCCCTGACAGTTAAACTGAGTCAGGTAGGGAGGTGCAGACTTCCAGGTTGGGGCCCTCGGGACTCTAAGAATCAATGGCTGGAGACAATAGGTGACATGGCTCAAAATCGTTGTCAATGGCTTACGCAGATAGATGTATTCAGTCTCTGTAATCTTTCATATTCCTTTCTACCATTACTCATTCTGTTTCACTCTTATACTTGTCAAAACTCTATTGATTCTGTTCACTCATTTCTTGTCTACCTTTGTGTGCTATTTGGAACGTGGCAACTCGAACTGCTGCACTTCGGTGCCAAGTCTATGTTGAATCCAGACAAACAGAACAACCCGCGACATCTCTGGCGCAGACGGGATTTCCGACTGGCTGTCGATCACAGGGTGTTTACTGCTCAGCTGTTCGCTGCTTCCTCTATGACTGGCTGTGAGTGAGACATGTCCATTGATAGTGGAATACAAGAAACGCCTGGCTACCTGTCTTTGGTCATAGGGGTCTCGGTTCTCTCTTCCTTGTTAAGTGGTATAATATGGTTAATAATATTGAGGTTTAGGGTAAATTGGGAGGTAAGGAGGATAAATCAGTCGATGAGATTGTGAAGGTGGATTGGCTGTGATAGCTAGGAAACGTGCTATTCATTCCAAACCATCGGCTTTCTTGTTGAGCAGTCATTATGGACATAATATTAGGTTGGCAAAGAGTTAGGGCTTCTTACTCACTGGCTGCTCATCGTCACAAGAGTCTGAATCAGAACGGAACGATACTCGGGCGTTCGACACAGACCCCCTTATAGTCCACCCCAGGGGAGTTTTAGTAGCATATAGATCCTCTTTATCTCTGTACCTTTCTTCTAGCACATTATGTGCAGACGGTACGTTGCATCCAACCATTAATCTAATCTTGTTATCTTGCAAAACAGGGAACATAATATCGGACAGATGACGTTTATTAGTAACTACTTCACGATTGGGCACTTAAGCTTCTCCAAGTTTCAGGCTGCGGGTAATATACGCAGTTCCAACCTTAAAGGATACCCCGGTTACCAAAAAGTCTAACCAAAACGAGAATCGTTCGCACGTTAACCTGTCCGACAAATTGAAGGTATTCATTCCTAAGGGTTCTTTAACACCCTTGATGCCTAACTGGTAACAATGTAACAACTTATTACACAAGCCTCTCGATAACATCAAGTATTAAAGAATATAGTCTAACTAACTGACTGGTTTCAACAACATAGAACTTTGCACAGAAGCGCAGCAGTCTCATTTGCCAGACTCCATGAAGCACACAACAGAAGACAAAGAAGAACACTAATAAGTAGGAGTGTCAGGAAGAGAGGATATCAACATGGGAAATACTTTCTTTGGATATGGGAGACCACAGAGGGTTAATGTATCTGCGCCATTGAGTCATATCACTAATTATCTCTAGCCTCATTACAAACAGTTGCCTGCTCTTTGTAATGATGTGTATGATGCCAGCATGATAAGCGTGGTGCTCACGCTTCGCCGTCTAGGGATAGTAGGGGGCTCAAGTTGCCAAGATGTGAGCCTCGGTATTTTGACGGAACTCCAGCCGACTATCCACAGTTCGTCAAAGAGTCTGAAGTCTTGTTGACCGGTTTTGTAGTAAATGATGAATTGAAGTTGATGTATTTGTTGAGGTATTGCACTAGAGTTGCTTCAAGAGCCATACAGTGTTGTAAGTTTATACCTCCAAACGAAGGATATACAGAGGCTATGAGGATATTACGTCAAAGGTTTGGAAAGCCATTTATGATATCCCGTAGTATTTTTGAGACTGTTAACGGTAATGGGGCACAGTTAAACGATAATTCAGAGGAACTCGCAGAATTTCCGGACAGTTTAATGGTATATAGAAATACCCTCGTGTCTCTCAATTGCGTAGATGGATTGAATTCAAGTTCTGTGCTTGAGACTATTGCTAAGAGATTACCGGTTCATTTACAAAGAAAGTTCATAAAGGTCAGTTCCCGTCTAGAGAAGGATGGTTTAGAGTCCGGGTTCGATGATATTGTGAGACTGGTAAAAGACAGCGTCAATCAAGCAACAGGCAAGTTCGCCAGCATTTTGCATCCAACGGTAGAACCTAAGGAATCAGTGAATATAAAGAAGTCATTTGTAGTGAAGGCACAAAGCACGACGAGAAAGGATGAGTGTATCATTTGCCATAACACGCACCAACTGAGTGATTGCAATCGTTTCATTGCAATGTATCCTGTAGAAAGGTTGAGAATGGCAAAGCAGAAGCGGTTGTGTTTTAGCTGCTTAAAGGTGGGGCACACAAGGTTGAACAGTAAGGCAACAAACAAAAGGGAGGTAGCGGTTCAACAGATCTGCATCCACTTTTGAGGATAGTAAACGAACCAGCGAATTCGGTTAACTATAATAGAACCTTTAGACCCCATGACAACCCACAAGTTTGTTTAGGGGTATTACCAGTTAAAGTGAGAGGACCGAAATCTTTGGTGGACACTTATGGACACTGTTGGATAACGGATCAGATGTCACACTGCTGGATGCTCAGCTAGCTGACTACTTAGGCATCAAGGGTGTTAAAGAACCCTTAGTAATGAATACCTTCAATTCATCGGACAGGTTAACGTGCGAACGAGTCTCCTTTTCATGGCTTCAGTCCATGAAATCTTTAACGCTTAGTTTGAGCCACGTAGAGGGGTCTGTAGACTACTTGGTTAGTGTCCTCAGGATGCTAAAGACCAGTGGCTAGAGACAATTGGTGATATGACTCAATGGCGCAGATGCATTAACCCTCTGTGGTCTTCCATATCCAAAGAAAGTATTTCCCTATGTTGATATCCTCTCTTCCTGACACTCCTACTTATTAGTGTTCTTCTTTGTCTTCTGTTGTGTGCTTCATGGAGTCTGGCAAATGAGACTGCTGCGCTTCTGTGCAAAGTTCTATGTTGTTGAAACCAGTCAGTTAGTTAGACTATATTCTTTAATACTTGATGTTATTGAGAGGCTTGTGTAATATGTTGTTACGCAAACATTGTCACTAAATTTGTTACAAACGCTATGGTCTCTATTCTGATCTGATATTATCAGTAGGGAGTGCTCTTCAAAGTTGATATCTGGTTAGGAAGTCTGTATTTCTTTACATTCTGTACTCTTCTGTCTGTTTAGAATTTCCTTTCCACTAATCTAATCTATTTACTTCCAGCATTAACACTACACCTTGTTCATGCGATTTTCAACATCGTTATTCATGTTGAGACTACTCTGTATCTGTGTAGCAGTTTTCCTCGTGAATGTACATATACCTCACCAACAAAACAACTTGGTATTACGAAAGAAAAATATCGTTTGAGTGGATTATTGTGCTTGAGTACTAAAGTTTAACACAACTGCAGACGAATATTGGGAGTTAGAGTTTAGCTTCCTACAAAGAGAATATTTCTATAAATGTTCAAGTTTCCTCCCCACCCTTTTTCCACCTAGCACTACGTGTTGTTATGTTGACCTAACAATACCAAGCACTGTATCACTTTTCCTTATTTTATCCTGTGTATATATATATGAAGTTCCGACGAACCAAATCTTATCGATATCTTTCCGCGTTACATAGGTTTAAGGAAAATAACCACTAAGCACACAAACGTACTAACCTCAAATATCTGCTCAATTCACCTGAATTATACAATGATGTTGAAATGACTACTCATGAATTTTGGTTCAAGTAAAGATTATGTTTTTTTTAATATCCTAGTAACACGTTGAATGCTTTAAGCCTGTGATACTTCAGTCCAAGTAGAGTAATATGGTGCTCGGTCACCCCCCCCTAGAGAGGTTGAACAACTACACATTGATGAATGATAGTACTGTATGTTATAGTCATCGATTGTGACATAAAATCATCGTCGATATAAAGTCAAAGTGTTCGGTAACTTAGTCCATAGTGTTGTAACGACCAAGTGGCGTTCTATAGACTTAAGGAAATTCAAAGTCCAGAAGATGCTATGATAACTTTTTTTATTGTCCTTTCTGGCTTTCGGAATTTAGTAGTATATCTGGAGTAAATCGACTCTAAAGCAAGTGGTTTTCTCTTGCAGTGTAAGGGGAGAATGATGCAGGTGCAGTATGGAGTTAACGGTCAAGGATTGTTGCATTAATTTAAGTTTGATAGTCACCACAAGGACGCTAGTTATGATGTGTCTTAGGCACCATATGTAGAGGTCTACCCATAAACTGTCGGAAGGCCTAATTATGTATATTGTATGATGTGTCCAAACTGTGCTGCACCTAGGTGCCGCCAATTTGCCGGTTGTATGTATTCAGAGAGGCTGACCTGTTGTGACGATTTTAGGCATTACCATGGGTGGGTGGGACAACCGGATTTCGATAACACGGTTTAAGCATCCTAGGGGAAGGTTACTACAGTCCTCTGGCTTTTTTTCAATACAGACACTATGAATGGAGTAAGCTGACGTTAGGTGCAAGCACCAATGTCCTTATTGTTGAGAACAAGAGGCAGATTGAAAGTACTTAAGGAATTACCACTGAGTGTAACATGACAGTCATCAGCTACAATGAAAATCCTTATCGAACGGCGGCTGAAAAGAAAAACACAAGAAAAGTCACTGTTTACCCTAGGTATGTATATTAGTTTGATTAGCTCCTCTGAGTGACAGTTTTCAGGTTGTTAGAAGGTCGGAAGAGGTTGTAGACTGCCTTCGACCGCTGTATTTACTAGAAATAAGGCGCCTGTAGTCCTGTCCTCCACATGGAACAAACGAGTAATTGAATCGCCAAAGTCAGTCATTTCCATTATTATTATTATTTAACTTCTGACTGTTCCTGTGAAAACGCAGTCTCACTACCAACGTGCGCACCTGGCCAATGTTTGGAATTTTCATCTTAACAGCGTACGCCACAGGCTCCCGTAAGTGTCTTATATTACTCCCTTGAAAACAGGACCTACAGTCAACCATCGTTGACTGCACAAATAACCGAATTGAAAGCAACAGTTTGAAACCTAGGGGTACATCAGAGTCGATCGCAGTTACGGCGAAGGAGATGTTCGTCCTCATTGGAACTATCTGAGACACCTACGGGAACCCGTGGTTAATGTTAGTACTATAAAATATCTAATTTATGTTGCTACCAATCGTCGGCAACCTTATTTACAGCGAATGTAGCGATACGCCTTATTATAGGTTTCAGAGTGGCAGGAACCTAAGGAAAATTTTAGATTATCTTAAAACTTATAATCCTAATGTCTGCAAAACAACCTTCGACCCTCACTTCCTTTGCGTACGGTGGTGTTTTGGTCTGCCCACCTCCATATCTTCCATATGGTCACAATTCAGGTGGATCGCCTCTCGTCAAATATCGCTTCAGTAGCCTGTGGGTATTCTCCACTCCACCCCCTTTTGTTCGTAACTTTGTCTATAATAGGATGGTGGAGCGGTTATGCGAGGCAGTTGAGTATTTCTTGGTCCTGAGCCGGTACCTTCGCAAGTAAGAACCAGCTAATGGATCTGTCGGATATATGTGATATTGACATAACGCCGGGACCTGTGGAGTACAACTGAATTCGTAAAATTACTTTGTATAACTGCCTGTGTGTGTGTGTGTGTGTGTGTGTACCATTCGTTATAATCATTTACCACTCAGACGCTGATTTGGGAATTAGTACAGGAATATTAATGACTCAGTATAAAACTTCCCTTTTTCGGAAAACCACCTATCAAGCATGGAAAATACACAAAACAACAATACTGCATAACGGAAATTCTCCTTTCAAAGCATACAAATATGCAGATGCACAGGTAGGTGACAGTAAATATCCCTTGTCCTAGATGTATCCAACAAGAGCTTTTTAAGTGCTTACAGTGTGTTTTTCAGTCTTTAACAGTTTTTCTCAAAAGAAATTCAGACTGGTTTGATTACAAAGCAGAAGCGAGAGATTGCTTTTTCTTTTAACGCCACCAAGAAAGGAGCACTTTTTCATACTGTCAGTGTTGTCTCACTTAAACCGAAATTCGTCATATATATTATTTTGTAGGGATGCATTGCAGCTAGCTAGTGTAGAAGTGGCGCTGCAACAAAAGATGGTTGCTGAAGTTACCCGTCTTGCCTCAGCTCCCCCTCTGAAAGTAGCGTAAACCTGCTCTCAAATCTGATGTGGCATTTTTTTCGGTAGAGAATCTTTTTTCTAGCAACAGTCAGACATTTTAATTATTTGTTACACAAGCATGATATATATCACTGTCTGTATCCGGAGCACAAACATCTGTTAATAAACACCAACAGCGACCAAACGGCTAGATTGTATTTCTGAATTCACAATGTTGTTGACTCGCTTTTTTCAGCGGCGTACAGCAGATATACAGTCTCGATAGAAAAAAAATGGGGGATTTTGGGTGTAAAGCTGCAGGTCAGCTTGTTTATGTTATACTATATTCATATCGCCTAGTGAATTAATTAATTAATTAATCAATCGTCTCAGTGATTCAGTAGGCGTAAGTATTTCACAGTTTTCACTAGTGTCAACAACTCAGTTTACAAATGCTTCAGCTTAAACCAACACGCAGCAGCAGCAACCTTGACGATCTTCCCAGCATCAACAGATCAATAAAAACTCTGGTACCTTGGGAATTTATTTTTTGAAAATTCCCATTCAGTCATAGAAAAGAAAAGGCGTTCAGCAAAGAGTTACTCTTTTCGGCGATATCATTCTCAAGCTGTACAAACCGCAAATTTATAGTAATTTTTCTTGGCAACAAAAGGAATATTTCCAAAGATGTGTTAATGCAATTGTTAATTTTTTGACAACAAATTACGTAATTTAGAAGGCGTTAATCGGTTAGAAACTAAAATAAAGTTACAAAAGTAGGTTGGGTGACGTAATCTAATTGATAGGGTTCAATGAAAAATGAATGAGAGTTAAGTTAATAAGCTGAGTAGAATTCACTTAAAAATAAACGAAAATGGAGTTAGCAACAGTCGTCATGAGGGTAGAGATTTAATAGAGGGTGGGGGTAGAAAATAATGCAATTAAGAAACAGACAAACAAAGACGAAAGAGGTAAGACAAAATTACGTATTTGGTGTTGAGATAGATCAGGACCACTGTAGCTTTAGTGACTGAACAAGCTTCTTTTGTATGCAGAGTTCAGGATTCAATATGTGACTTGCCATTGCTTCTGCAGTTTGAAGAAGTTTAATTCGTACTCTTTTGGCAAGGTTCCCACGTATTGTGTAGATAACTGAGAAGTTGTTTTGTGGGTTTGCTTGGTGTCCGGATTCGATCAAGTGTTCTAGAATAGAGCTGTGGCGGGGGGATCTTCTTTCTCCTTTATAAAACCATGAAGGTAAGTGTTCGCTGATTCGTTTGGATAGCAAACGCCAAATACGTAATTTTGTCTTACCTCTTTCGTCTTTGTTTGTCTGTTTCTTAATTGCATTATTTTCTACCCCCACCCTCTATTAAATCTCTACCCTCATGACGACTGTTTTTAACTCCATTTTCGTTTATTTTTAAGTGAATTCTACTCAGCTTATTAACTTGACTCTCATTCATTTTTCATTGAACCCTATCAATTAGATTACGTCACCCAACCTACTTTTGTAACTTTATTTTAGTTTCTAACCGATTAACGCCTTCTAAATTACGTAATTTGTTGTCAAAAAATTAACAATTGCATTAATACATCTTTGGAAATATTCCTTTTGTTGCCAAGAAAAGTTACTATAAATTTGCGGTTTGTACAGCTTGAGAATGATATCGCCGAAAAGAGTAACTCTTTGCTGAACGCCTTTTCTTTTCTAATTTATTTTTTCATTGGAATAATCACACTCAGGTAAATTCTCCACAATTCACAGAAATGTTAACAAAAGAGTTGCTGTACGTCGGATCAGATGAGTGTTCGCGGACTGTGAATATATATATATATATATATGAATGAAATGTATATTTTCTCACTTGCAATAATCTTCACATCTATTTTTACATACACATAATAGATATTTTTTCCTAATTTCAGGGACGTGTTCTTGTATTAACACACCAACTGTTCATATTCTTTACTGAACGTGTACACACTAGTTTCATCATCATCATCATCATCATCATCACCAGTAGAGTAATGGACGAATTGTTTGCGAAATCCCGCCTGGACGATCTGTTTATCAGAATTATACTTATGTTTAGATGTTTCAACGAACTTTGCAATTATTATGCTTTTTTTTCACCTACACGGTGAATCATTAATTTGCCATTTGCATATCACGTGTTAATTTTCACCTTTATTACTTGCCTTTGTATTGCCTTGTATAATATTTCATTGCCATACTTCTCTGTGTAGTTGTGTGTAATTTGACAGTGTTTTCTTTAATACTATGAGTCTGTTTGAGTGAATGAAGGTGACTCTAATCCCGGGAGTGTCTGCAGGAAGCGTTGGTGCAGGTTTCTTGTGTACAGAGCTTTAGATTGACCCCATCTCCTCCGTTGCGAGTATTCTCCCCCTTCGATTCTAAGCACTTGTGTTTTGTATATGGAAATCTACATTGCCTATATACTCAGCCGAAACATAGCATGGCATTGCTGAGAACAGTGACGACCAAATTATTCGGTTACCATCGTCTGAACGTAAGAAGCCGATCTCTACGTTCTACTGTATGTATCACACAGCTGGCAAAACTTTGTTGACGCAGACACGCGCTATCACGAAACGTTCCGAAAGCAGGGAAGAAACACGGTTACTCTTCAGTATTTCATCGTCTACGTGCGGTAGCTAACACACTTGTGACATGGTCTGAGTGTGCTTCTAGTTGATTGGTGGTAGGTAGTGTCGAATGATTAACTCGGTTACAAAATGACGATTAGGCAGAATTAACTGATGCTTGAGTGGGACGGGATAGTCAGAATAATTTAATCTACCGCCAATTCAAAGTATTCCATCAACCAGAACGGGAATTTTGTTTATTAGATATATCACACAGTGATTGAAACAGTATTAGTTACTCGAGGACAAAGTTTCGAACAAAGTTGATTGTTCATAATCACACGACTTTGAAACTTGAGTTTTATAGTTTTCTTTCTCCTCTCCTATTTGTCGTCGTTAGGGTAGTAGAATCTTCCAAATATGTGGGTGCACAGGTGTTGAATCATTCCTATTACACGTACAGTTCAGTTCAGTTGATTCGATAAACAAAGCTTCCGTTATCAATCTTCCCCACTCGCCACCCTGCAGTTACATTAGATTTTAAAACTGTCATCTTATCCCACCCATCCTATTGTACGGTTGTGTGTAATTAATTGCATGTAGTGAAGTGGTATGTATGGCTGAACTATGCTCTAGATTTCTTATCTCATTCAGGTCAACTAATCTAGATTTTGTTAGGTTTCGGTGCTCCGCTAGTTTATCTAATAAACACACTAATACGGGATTAAGAGTATTTTGTCGTAGACACGTGTATTAAAAGAAGGATTTTTTGAAATATTCTGTGTTTATCGTTATGTTAATAATAATAATAATAATTTACTTTATTCCAAAAACAGTACTTATAATACAGAATGGAATTCTCAGCATTTGTCACAATATTGCATCTGATTTACTCAAAGTGTATATAAAATTAAAAATTAAAACAAAAGTTAATCGGAGGAATTTGTCCACATTAACGACATAATTATTAGATATAATAATAATAATAATAATAATAATAAATACTAATAACAGTGAGTTTGTTTCAAATGGTATTGTCGATTGAGTTTGGAAACTTTAGCATGTTATGGATAATTGGGTCTAATGTTCTGTTGATATGGTATAGTGAGGTGAAATACAGAGTTAACAGTCATAATACAGCTTAAAATTATGTCCGCACTTATGAAAAATAAAATAAACAAAACCAAAAAATCGAGAGGATTATAAATATAAGAAATACAATAACAATAAAGTATGATGCTTTAAGGTTGAAGGAAATGGTCTATTTAGTGGTGCTAAGAGGGTTAGTTAGTTCATTTCTGACACTATTTTCATCACATAAAGTACGTGCTAAATATGGTATAGTGGAATTTTTATACTTAGACGTACGTGCATAAAGTCTTCTGAAAAGACTTCTTGTTTTACCTGAGGAGACACAGGGTTAGAGCTGCGGGTCCTGATGCGGATGCTCACAATCTGACAAAATTCTTTTAGCAAATTTGTCGCATGATATAAAGTGCCTATCGGTGACAATGTCAACGATGTGGCCCAATGGGATACCACTCGCCCTACTGACAGTCTTCAGAGTTCTACGAAGTATGACATAGTCCTTTTTAAGCAATCCAGGAAAGAATAAGGGTGAACAGTAAAGAAGAATAGGTAAAATACACGAGTTGATAAACTGTAAGAGGAGTGGTTGGGTTATGCCTGAGTGCCTCAGCTTCTTAATGTAAAAAGTCAGACGAAATATTCTTTGAGAAATCGCTAAGACATGAGAAGACCACGATAGGTCAGAAGAGAGAACTAATCCAAGATACTTAACTTCAGACTTGCTTTCTATATCAGTATCATCGATTTTGCAAGGGTCATAGGGACCAACGGCTTCATTTAACTTTCGTTTACATCGGAAACTGAAATTAACAGTCTGCATTTGGAAGGATTAAGTTTAAGGCCGTTAGACGAAGACCATTTGCTAATTTCTGATAGAAAGTTGTTAATCTTAATACAGGCAAGTTGAGAGTTAACAGACATTGAAATAGTTAGATCATCGGCATACTCAACAAAGTTCATTTAATCGGAGTGAGTCATGTTTTCCGCAGATGCTAATATTTGAAGGCATAACAGGCTTGTGATTTTTTTAATGAGTTTGCTGGTGAAGAGTTTGACAAATGCCTCATTCATGATGACAACTAATCTTTAGCATATTTTCCCTTATGATTCAACACCGTGACTACACAAGTATTGGAAGTCGAGGTTTACTGTAATACGGCTTATTCATTGTACGCTTCCGGTGTTTTCTTCAGTGAGTGCCTGTGGTTGTGTGAAAGGTCTAGCTGAAGACAATCACTTCTCGTGAATCGGATTTAGTGACTTACTCACCTCTAACTTCTGTCAATTTGCGTTGTATATCGAATATGTCTTCACACTTGACTCGACTGAGGCGCAACTTGTCTGAAATCAAGTTTGCAGGAGGTGGAGGTTTCAGAGGAAGCTGGTGGTTGTTTAGTGAGCAGTGGTTTGTGATTTGGCTGCGAGGTTTTTTACACTAACCGCCCCCTAGATTCTAGGTAGTTCTTTCTTTTTGTGGACTACTGATGTCAGCTGGTGAATCGTGTGTGATTTGGTACTTACAGTTATCAACAGTTTACTATTTCCTCCTAGCCACCCAATGGACACCGATCGTCGTCTATCAAATTTTATTGTGCAATACTTTTCAATACATTAGCAAAACTTTTTTCTCATAAAGCACTGCTTTCTGTTATAGTACATGATTTGTAAAACAGAAGTGATTACTGTAAGTATTATGTTATTTTCTAAAATCTTTTGTCTTGATTAGTTTGCACTTGGGTGTGGATTGATGTGGTGTGTGTACACTACATTCTGATATGTTTGAACATTGTGTTATTTTTCCTCATTACGCATAGTGTCTTAACTCTTCCCTTAGTCTCTTTGTGAAGTTTTTGGAAGAGAAGGAGAAGCTGTGGAGAGAGCGTAAATATAATTTTGTAGAGTTATTTTCTTTATACCTAAAACCACAATTTTTTCCTATTAGAATATATTACTTATTTGTCCTTGTTGAAACTAGAATGTGTTTGTTTTTGTCTGCTGTGTACACAGAACTTTACTACTGTAATACAATTTCTGATACGTTTAGCTCGGCTAAAATATGTGGACGTTGTAAGTGGTGATACAGGCTTGAAAGATGAGGTATGCGGCTTTATAACAGCTGTTTTGTTATAGACGACATCGCACTGTTGTGTGTACGGTTGACATTCCGAAGGCAGCTAACCACCAGCAACTGGAAACATTAAGCGTAGTCTGTGGTCTCAAACAACAGTGGAAGGCTGACTTGTACGAAGTGCTACCTGGACGGACGGCCAGGTTGAAACAGCTAGTTGTTTTAAGGGACCACATTGTGAGCCGTGGACTTGATGTTTAATCCACAAGGGGCAGCAGAGCTACGTCCCCATGGTTGCCAGTGGGTTCGTACACCATTCGGTGCTCTTACATTCTTGGGACCCATGTGCACTATAAGTTTGGAATCAGGGTCTTCCAGTTTGTTTGCGTGAATCTATATGCACACCACCAGTCCGGTTATAAATGCCGAACATTGTTGCACAGGACAGCTCTCTGGAATTGTGTGTTAACATCCTAATGGCGGTGGCATTATACGGAGAAACCTAAGGTGTAATGGAGGCATAAAACCAACCAGCCATCACACCGCTGTACCCGACCAACTGGAGTTGGTAAGGGTTGCTCAGTCACTCACCATTTCTCTTTATCGTTAGGATTGTGACATTCTGGAGACAGATCTGTGAAGGATTGTGCATTGTGGTTGTAGTTCTGGTGCTTGGAGAGGGACTTTTTGACTTCGGGTATGTATACGACATAATCTTAGTGTGTGATAACTTACATGCTGCCCAAATTGCATATAGAGTTGATGGTCACAGTCTGTAAGTATGCTTTGCACACTTAAGCCATACGCGAGATTGGCAGGAGCCTGCGCAAAACACTCACTCTACAGGTAAACAGTTAGAAGTAGTCGATAAGTTCGTGTATCTGTGTAAGTACTGACGGATGAGATCTGTAGATCGTATAGTGAAAGCCAGGGCGGTATACTTATGAGTGGAGCGCGACTGACTGCGAAGAATCTGGTTTACAATGCTTCCGTGCACATTGTCCGTTTACGCCTGTCAAACCTGACAATGTGTATTCGGTCACTGCCGCCGCCTCCACAGGAGCGCTTCCACCCAGTTGCATCATCATGTAATTCCGAGCTCTCGTGGCGTGTATTTGAGATCACACACTTGAGATCGTCTTCTATTAAATGTTGTCATCTTGGAGAACAGTAGCTTCAGCGACTTGAACATGTACTGTGAGTGTCAATCGAGCAACTCTCATAACATTCTGTGTTTACTAGTTCTGGATGGAAAGAGTGAGGAGAGAGGTAGAGAGTCTAAGAAGTGGTGTCATAGGATGGAGGATAGCTGTTTTTTCATTTTTGATCACAGCTTGATGCCACACGGTATTTTCAGTACAAGTATGGAATTGTCAGCATGGATATCGGTAGCCCAAATTTTGCAGGCCGACCATAGATATCGGGTGTGCGTCGGCAGGGGATCGAACCCCGGGCTATGTGGATGGTCGGCGAGAGTCTTAACCACTGTGCCACCGACGCACATATCATCCATCATCTGTTGGTGCATTACGACTACCAAGGTTGAGGTCCGGTGAATAATCCTCGTTAGTTGTTCGAGACGTTATCAGATATGACGAAGAAAGAATCTTAATCGACGGCGAACATACCATAATTTGCATCCATCCTCTGAATGTTAGTGATATATAGTTATACTTGCTTGCCGCCTTCTGGATGTTGTCCCGCATTCGCTTTATTTCTTGGTGCCTATATCGTATCACTCTTAGCTTGCTAAATATACGCGTTTGTTTGCACGTCGTGTGCTCAGAGCTTCTTCAATAATCTCTAGTACTAATTTGTAATTGGCTGTGTGCGTCGGTGGCACAGTGGTTAGGACTCTCGCCGACCATGCACATGGTCCGGGGTTCGATCCCCTGCCGACGCACACCCGATATCTATGGTCGCCCTGTAAATTTGGGCTACCGATATCCATGCTGAACATTCCATACTTGTACTGAAAATACAGTGTGGAATCAAGCTGTAATCAAAATAAAAAAAATAATTTGTCAAATACTGTCCGACTCACGTCAAATTAACCTAGATGGACCAGGGAACAAACTTGTTTTGCTATTTGGCGCGTTGTTGAATCCCAGACAGGTATACTCTAGTCCTTCTGACTAATTTATTATGTTGAGTTAATTTCTATGAACTACTCCTATATCATCATGATGCGATATGGACTTGGAAAATATTGGGGATTCAAGACCACTGAGTTGTTTAGAATCCGGAACGTTGCCTTATTGTAATGTATGTATTCATCACTGTCCATTACTTGTTGATAATCAACAAATAGCAGATGTCCAAAAAGAAAAACTAGAGAAAACCCTCAACCAGGAACACCTGTCTGTCAAGGGCTGATCACCGCAATTACATTGTCAAGTAGAGAACAAAGACGAAGAGTCCTCAAAACCAAGCTAGCCAAGATTAGGAAACAACAACCGGACAATACACCTATAGACTGCGTAGTCAACCAATCAAAAGGACCACTATCAAAAATGGAACAACAAGTACTACAAAAAGGATTAAACCACGACACCGGAGATGCTTCGAAAACTGATTTCTTCGCTGCCCTCGAATCATTACTCAAATCATCAAACTTGAACGAGGAAACACAGGAAGAGATATGCCAAACAATTGTACCAATGGTCAAACAGAAAAAAACAACACACACAACTCAACTCTGAAGAACTAAAGGCCCTCAAAAAGCTGAAAAATAGGAAGGGCATCGTCATTCTACCAGCCGACAAAGGAAGAACAACAGTAGTCATGGCCAGAGAATACACTAAGAAAGCTGAGGAATTACTCAAAGACGACAATGTATATCAACAACTTTCAACAAATCCCATACAAACATTGGACAACCGCATCCAAAGGACCTTGAACAAGCTCACCAAAACTGGACAGATCATAAAACAAGACCAATGGTGAATGAAATCCAATGGACCAGTCCTACCCCGATTCTACGGCAGACCCAAAATACACAAGCCAAATATCCCGTTACGACCAATTGTATCACTACCAGGAACTCCAACATACAACTTATCCAAAGAATTATACAGAAGACTAAAACACCTAACGGAATCTTGTGATCACTCCATCAACTCTACTATCCAATTGCTAGAGAAAATCAGAGGCATCCAAATAGATGAACAAGAAATAATGATATCCTTCGACATCACAGCATTGTATACCTCAATCGGACAAAAACTAGCAAAGGAGACCATGGAACAGTTACTCAGCAACGACGAACACCTCCCACAACAATCAAAAATGCAACACAAGCTGGATGGAATGCATAAACCTATGCCTAACAACGTAATTCCATTTCAACGGCCAAATATATGAACAAGTTAAAGGAATACCCATGGGATCGCCAATATCAGGTTTGATTGCAGAAGTAATGATGCAAAGGCTAGAAAATATAATCCTACCAAAGATCAAACCCAAGATTTGGATACGTTATATAGACGACACATTTGTAATAATCAAAAGAAACGAGTGAGATAAAGCTCACAACCTGATAAACAACGTCTTCAACGACATCAAATTCACAAGAGAATAGGAATCCGAGAACAAAATCCCATTTTTGGACGTCTTAGTCAAGCGAACAACCACGGGGGAATTAGAAACTCAAGTTTATAGAAAATCTACACACACAGATCAAATACTGAATTAAAACAGCAACAATCCAATAACACACACAAAAGGAATTGCATACAAACACTATTCAAGAGGGCCAGGACTCACTGCAGCACTCCCACTTTAAGGAAAATTGAAGAAAAATATCTCATGGACGTCTTCCAAAAGAACAGATACCCGCGGAATTTCATCAAAAGACATACCCCCAAACCAACCTATCAAACCAAAAGCCCCCAAGGAAAGCACAAAGAAAGTCGCCCTGCCATATATAAAGGATATATCAGAAATCACTGCAAGACTCGTCAAACCTTTAGGAATTGACGTCGTACACAAACTAACAAAGTCACTTCACTCAATTCTATGTCAACCAAAAGACTCAACAACGAAAGAAGATAAAAACCAACATCATCTACAAAATAAATTGTATCAAGTGCGAAAAACACTACATTGGCCAAAGTGGACGTACCCTTCGTCTTCGTTTCCACGAACATAAGCTAGCCGTCAAAAGACATGATATCCACTCCCTCATATCACTACATACAGACAACCACGGACATCAATTCGAGTGGGACAACGTTCAAATATTAGACAGAGGAAACAACATGAATGCTAGAGAATTTTTAGAAGCTTGGCATTCCAATGAATCATCAATCAATAGACACATCGAGATAGACTAAATTTATCAACCGATAAGAAAGAAACCTCACACACACAAAGGGCCAAAGTTCAAGTCGAAGAAACAATCAGTTCCAATACAAGTCACCTAGAAGGTGTGAAAACACACAAAAACAACCAATCACGTCCGAGGTCACCAGGAGAGATGATTAATAAACTCGTGGAGAAATCTGGAAGCTCACTTCAAATTGAAGTATGCGCTGAAGATGTCACCTAGTAGGGTGATGAAAGTTTCGCAAATTAACCATCCAGCTCAGAGAACACAACCACTTCAAAATCCCAGGTATACTCTAATCCTTCTGACTCATTTATGTTGAGTTAATTTCCGTGAACTACTCGTATATCATCATGATGCGATATGGACTTAAAAAAATATTGGGGATTCAAGACCACCGAGTTGTTTAGAATCCGGAACATTGCCTTATTATATGCCTATGTATTCATCACTACACAACCCCATATTTGTGATTAGATGATGTCTACAAAACATTCTTGGCAAGTTTTCAAGTGTGTGTTGTTTAAGGGTAAAGTTAGAAGTGTTATTATCTGTAAAAATTAGTCAGTGCATATTGACAGAAATAAGTTTGGTTTAATATGCCTAAGTTTCAATATTTTCTATGGTCACGTATAAATGTAAGGATCCCTTGAACATAGAGCAACTGCTTTCACCCTACTTTTAGATATTTAGTAGACTAGTGCAATCATCGGTGCCTTGCTTCATGATAGAATACTTGTTGAATAAGCGCGCACGTGTTCCGGACCGGATTCGACTGCTGGCCTACAAACTCCTCCTGAACCGCACCTAGTTTGCTAGTCTGTGGTAGGCTCAAGTAGGAGGAAGAGGAGGGGGGGGAGGACGGTCGGATGTGATCTTAACGTGAGCTCATTTCTTATAAAACAACACAACCCGCTACTGAAACTTTAAGCCCTATGTTCCAATCGGAATGTGCAAGGAGTTAGGAAGGCTGGAATATTGTGAAGATGAAAGGCTCATTAGAACAATGAAAGGTTAAACGAAGGCGACCGGTTCAACTCGAATGGTGGTGAATGATGGTATCTAAGTATTTCATCAGACTACTGTTCGTTCCGTGACTGATAGTGACATATTAATAATAATGAGGAACTTCAAACACAAAACGAGAAAGGATGGTGTGTATGCATGTATATTTAATTACATTATTATTACTATTATTGATTGAATTTCCTTAAGAGTCTTCTGAATATGAAATAGACGGGCTGTGACTTGGATGTATCGATTCATGATAGATATCCTGCTCGAAATCATCATCAATATCGACACAAATAGTTGGATCTAGTATACCTGAACCACCAGCAGCGGCAGCAGCTTCGTCTACAATAGAAGACGGCAGATATGTTGGTACTGGCGGTGGATTAGCATCCAGTTGACGTCGACGATTTTTTAACCAAGAATCGTGTAAAAGTGAATAGGCATGCACTGGCCCGGGTGTTGGACCTGGTACATATATCAATCCAAGTTTTGGATTAATTCTCAATATCTAAAGTTGTTGTAATTGTTGTTGTTAGAATTAGTAAGATAAGAAAAAAAAGAAGAAGAGAAAAGTATTATAATTATTAATCTCAATAATTTCCAGGAAATCTTTAGCAGAAGTCTTGGTGTAAAGTGGTGTGATACAGACAATGGGATTCCAACGGAATACTATTCTGACAGTGAGAATCATTATTGTATTTGTTGGTGTTAACGTCTGAATACTATTCCCACAGTTCAATAGTGGATTAACAACATAATACTATATATGTATTTGGACATTCTATTTCATGTCGTTTAACGTAAACCAGAATCTTACACGTTCAGTGATTGGTTAAAGAATAGAAACTGTATGGATATATAAATAGCTATAGGAACACTTGGAAACATACCTTGGCTTCCGTGTCTTGTCTTCTGGTGTCACATTAGTATGTTCGGTAGGAAATTCTCCCGTCAGATTTAATATGATGCTACAGGAATCAGCACGATGAATCTCCTTGCACCAAAAGAAAAAGTTAGTGTGGGGACATGGAACGTCCGCGCCATGTACGAGATTGGCAAAGCTTCCCAGATTGCACACGAGATGAAAAGATACGGAATTCAAGCACTGGGAATATATGTGAAAGCAGATGGAACGGGAATGGACTCACCAAATTGTCAACGGGAGAGTCAGTGATCTACTCCGGTCACCCAGAAGACAACCACAAGCACACCGAGGGCGTGGCTATCATGATGTCACCAACGGCAACGAAGGCCCTGATGCAATGGGAGGCGATCTCACCCAGGATTATGACCGCCAGATTCAAATCCATAGGGAGGAAAGTGTCAGTTATACAATGCTATTCACCCACAGGAATCACCTGCACCAATACGGAGTTTAACGACAGGAGATGTAGTTGAATAACGCTAAACACATCACTTAATTGGGAAGGTGAATCAACCCTAATCTCGGTCTGCATTTCGCGGATGATTTATATTTAATATCACACGAACTCGATGACCTACAGGTGAAAATCAACAAACTGACTAAACAAGGGTACAGCGAAGACAGGACACTCCAGATGAACATATAGAAAACGACGGTGATACAGGTAACCAACCAACCAACAGCAGCAACAACAACAACCAGCACCAATCACTAGAAACGCGATGAGTTTGAAATAGGTCACTTCCTTCACTCAACTGGCTAGTCAGCATCATTTCAACTGAAAGGCAGACGGTACAGATGAGGTTGTCAAAGCCAGTCTGAATCGAAAAGGCAAGATACACCTTCATCACTCTGAGTAGTCAATTTGGAAATCGTCTGCATTCACTCAGCCGGCCAGCATGAAGAACAACATTCGGATTCCATTCAACACAAATGTCAAGTAAATCAGTCAGTCAGAAAATTGGCCAGTGCGTTACAGAACGCATTTCAACAAATCACTGCAGACTTATATCAACAGCTGTCTTCTCTGGCTCTATAGTGAAGATCAGATGACCAGTCGGTTGGTTGGGGAGAACTAGCAATAAGAAACTCCAGCAATGAACGAACCAACAGGCAAGAACCTATTGCTCAATAAATGTGGCGAAGAGAATGGAGATGGACTGGACACACTGGGGAGACCGTCGAGTAACATCGCGTTCAGTGAAGGCTATCCCTCGAGTGGAGAATCTAAGAATCAGTGGTTGGAGACTTTTAGTGATATAGTTGGTACATATACATTCACTGTTTGTGATTTCTCAGATATCAGTCCCCATTTATTATTATTTAAAAAAAATTATTTTATTCCTTTGCTTCCTAGTTGAACGTAGGACTTCGACCTGGAGCTTCGAAGATTCAGTGGCAGTGGTGTTTACTTTCTACGGGATGAGATTGCTCGCATCATGTCCAACCTTCCCTTTTTCGAATGGTTACAGGATTGGTCACGAGTTGACATCTATACACGAAGGAACTTGGAGTTCTAGTGAGGTCCACCAAATCTGTTAGGAGAACAGTTACTCGCATACAACATTGGCTGGCGGTTGCGCTGAGTATACATTATCACGAATTGACAGGAGTTGGAATTCATGGGCTGGCCATTGCGTGCGTCGGTGGCACAGCGGTAGAATATGCTTACCAACCACGCATGTAGTCCGGATTTCGATCCCCGGCAGACGCACTCCTTTACCTCACCGGTAATAAGACTGGTAAAGAGGGAAGATTGCGCATGAGGCTAAAAGCCCCATCCTGTAATGAAAAAAAAACACCACTGCTACCGAAACTTCAAGCCTCTAGCTTGACGCCCTATGTTCCACTGGGAACGTATTATTATTATTTCCTTTAATTCCTAGAGGAACATAGGGCTTCAACCGTGCGTCTCCATTGCGTTCGGTTCTCTGCTAGAGTCTTCACCTGGCTCCAAGTCTGCCCACACGTTTTCATCTCCTCTTCACATGACCTCCTCCATGTCACCCTTGGACGACTAACTCGCCACTTCCCTTTCGGGCTCCACTCGAGCACTGGCTTGTCTAGTGATGTCACTTGATGGTTTCCTCAGAGTATGGCCAATCCATCTCCATTTCTTCCTGCATATTTGTTGCACAATCGGTTCCTGGTTGGTTCGCTCATCGCCAGAGATCTTTGTTGCTGATCTTTTCTGGCCATCTGATGTTGAGTATTGAGCGAAGGCAACTGTAAATGAAGGTCTGTAGTTTGCTTGAGATGATCTTTATGACGCGTATGGGAATAAAATAACCCATTGGATCCGGTCCCAGTGGCTAAAATGGTCTAAGAGCTGACTCACTTTGTAATTGGAAGGTCCTGGTCTTCGAATCCCGGCGCGTACGTGTACTGTCAGTGAGTCCAAAACTAGACTGACGAAACAGCTGACCAACACACCAGTGGTGGTTTTCCAATGGTTCCCTAACTGATGTCAGGCCGTGATCAATCCTGTAATTTTGTTTTATCATTGTTACTAACAGTAACTACCGCTAACCTGTATTGGCGGTTAACATTGCACCTATATGAACTCCTCTGAATAGCTGTACAGCTTAGAAGAGAAATTGTGAAAAACGCGATCTCGTTTACTAACTTATGTCTTATTAACTGATATATCACATGGAAATTTTTTCATACTCTAAAAGTATCCAACTTACCATTAAACCACGTGCATGCCTATATCGATTGCCCATAACACCTGCCATACGTTTACCTCTTGAAATAGGCCCCTAAAAATAATAAGAGGGTAATAGAACATATTTTGAAAAAAGTAATAACAGATCAGTCGTAGTGTATTTTATCTCCTTAAAACAAAACTTGGTACATCATGTGGAGCAGGGGGTACGTCACACAAAAACTCATTGTCTGTAGGATGTCTGGAATACTGCCAAAACGAAACGGGTGTCTGCCTTAAGGACCCCCCGAACGCCTTTAATTTGAATTCCGATATATAGGGCAAAGTGGCACATTGTGTTAGGAGCTACGTTCCTCCATGGTTGCCAGTAGTGTCCAAAAGAGGTTCATACATGCCACTCGGTCCTTTCAGATGATTATCGAGCAGCAGTAAACACTGTAGGTTTGGAATGAGGAATTCCCGGTTGCTCCTCTCTAGGTAGACTTGCATATCCAACAGTCTCCAGTTGGAAGCGCCAGAAGTTGGAATTAGCCGTTTCACGTTTTTCCGGAACCCCCTCCCCACAGCCGTATGAAGGCGGTTGATGTGACCTACCTGGCTATGAACGTGTGGCCACATGTGAGAGCATTAAGACAGGAAGATGGGAATCTACCCAACCTCGGCCGTTTGTGGGAGCCAAACCATAGTATCAAACATAACAGTTCTACTACTCATTAGACTATTGAGTCATGAGGCCGACAGACTCGTTAATCTTACTTTTTGTTCAAACTTCCCTTTCTCTTATTATTCATTTGCACTTCTGAAATTTGGGCTTAGTGGTTCAAAAATTCTAGGGTTAGAATTTTACTCCACACTGAGTAATATATATCCTGACAGCCTTTATCGGTAACCCGAAAAATGAAAAATCTGTAATAGCGGGTAATAATTGAGTTCTAAGTAACTCCTAAATACTGGCTTCTTCTCTTCATTTTCTGTCGGTGATATACACAGCGCTATCCAGTATTCTAAAGCTGATTTCGTTTTGTGACGAATACTACAGGGAAATTAATTGAAACCGGAAATTTGAAAAAAGAAAGTATTTAGAAATGCAAATCTGTTGTCAGATTAAGGTTAGTTGTATTAGAGGTCTAATCCTGAGAGTATATTTGATCGGAAACTATTATTGATCAAATATGAAGTCTAGAAAAACCAAATGTCCCTCAACAGCCACTTTTAATTTCACGATGTTGACAACGCCTCCCCCGCCTCACACACATACAATATGTAAGGGCTAGTGATACTACCTGACTGCCCAAACACTGATAGATGGGGTGGGGTCCGGATGCGCGTCCCGTTAGTTGGAATCCGGTTGCATAAACTAGTGAACCACATCAGTTTGTTTATTAGATGTATCACACGGTGAAACAGTATTATTTACTGGATGACGTTTCGAACAGGAGCAGTCAGACTAGCCGAACATATAAACCTAGCAAAATCTAAATTGGTTGACCCGAATAAGATAAGAAATCTAGAGCATAGTTCAGCCATACATACACTCACTAAATGCAATTAATTACACACAACCGTACAATAGGATGGGTGGGATAAGATGACAGTTTTAAAATCTAATGTAACAGGGTGGCGAGTGGAGAAGATTGATAACAGAAGCTTTGTTTATCGAATCAATTGAACAGAGTACGTGTAGTGGGAATGATTCAACACCTGTGCACCCACATATTTGGAAGATTCTACTACCCTAACGACGACAAATAGGAGAGGAGAAAGAAAACTATAAAACTCAAGTTTCAAAGTCATGTGATTATGAACAGTAATAAATTTTGTTCCAAACCTTGTCATCCAGTGAATAATACTGTTTCACTGACTGTGTGATACATCTAATAAACAAACTAATATGGAATTACTTACTACCACAGTGCACCAAGTTTTACACATATATTAATAGTGAACCACACCGTCTCACAAAACGTGCGGTATGCTCATTAATCTAAAAGATTTAATAACACCATGGTGTGCACTTGTCTTTAAATCGTTCTTACTTTCCACTGAACAGTGAACTTTCGAAGAGTGGAGGAAAAATATGATATTTCTCAAGATTATAGGCCTGAAGTGTTGTTAGAAATACCTTGAACAACTAGGCTATGAGTTATAGTTGTGTGAAGTTGACTACACTAGCCAGTTGACCCTGGAGGGTTGATCGCTAACGAATATTTAGCACGGAGACAGAAGGCTCGTTTGGCATTTCCTAACAACTTACGCCATCTCTGGCTTAGTAGACGTGATATCCGGTTGGCTATCGACCAAAGAAAATGTGTACTGCTTAGAAGTTCACTTCATCCGCCTTTGTGGTTGTGAGTTAGCCATTGAGAGTGGAAAACATGGATGCCTGGCTAGCTGTTTTTGATCATAGATGTCTCCGTTCTGTCCCCCGTGTTAGGTGGTGAGTAATATTGAGGTTAGGTTGCGATCGAGTGCTAGGTAAGAAGGGAAAATCAATCAAGGAGGTTGTAAAATAGATGCACTGATTGAGGGAGATGGTTAGGACATATGTCACGTATGCCTTGTCTAGCCTAACCATCGATCGCCTTCCTCGACAACTGGCAATATTAGCTGACTAACATAAGATGGATCAGGTTGGAAAAGAGCTAGCACGTGATGGTCAAACCAAAGCATGGCTTCATCAGTCAATCAAGTCCATAAGAGGTAGTTTGTAGTGACCCATGTTATTACTCATCATAGTACTATACTTTCATTGTGTAATTGTACTTCGATTTGTTTATTACTCTAAATCTTGCATGTTAACAATTGATACCTTCTGTACTCGCTCGATTTTTGAATTTTGATTGCTGCAATAATACACTATCGTATTCCTTCGCAAGTGCCTTTTGAATTACGTTGTGGATGTCGAGTAATCGCAACGTTAGGTCACAATTATAAACGCGAAGAAGTACTAGAATATACGTGTACTCTAATTCAGTCAAAATATAGCAGCAACAAGTTTAAGCCAGCCAGTCACGTATAGACACCCTGACTGGCTGGTTGAGGTCCTCGGGATGCTAAGAACCAACGACGGCGGCTGGAGACAATTGGTGAGATGGCTCAATGACAGCGCAGATGCATGCATTCACTCTTTGTGATTTGTCAGTCCTATTCAATAAAACTGCATAGTTCTTCCATGTTATGTGCAAAAAACCAAAAATCATTTGCCACTGACTGAGTCCTTCGACCGTCATGTCTTACTATTTATAGAATGGGTTATCCAAACAAGATTTATTTTATAGTCAAATCAAGTTGTTCTAACGAGTTGAAGTTTTAATAGTAAAACGCTCCGCTGTCATGTCAAACAAACAAATATTATTACAACATTACAAATATAGAGTGTAATATTTCGATCTAAACATGTTTGACATAATTAGATGAACACACATAGGAGTAGGATTACTCCGAAATAACGAGTAGGGCGATGTCAAAACGTGAACACTTTTCCCAGGACTAAGCAGTTTTTAGAAAGCAGACTTCGCATTCTTTTTGGAAGGGCTGTTCGTATTTTGACTCACTGGTTTTTTAGTGGGAGAAGATACGAGACTTGGTAACGGATATATTTATCGGGGAAAAACATACCAACCAGCTCAGAGAACACTATTAATTGCAAATCATCCACCTGAGCTACAAATCTTCTCTATTATATTTATACACTTTTAGCTACATTTAAGGACGGTCAGGTCAACAGATAATAAACTGTTCTGAGTGGTTGGTTATTGATTTTCAGAAGGCTAGACCCTGAGAAGAACGGTTGTCTAATGAGAAGATCATTTCCGCAACGTAAGCAGAATTCGGATTTGAGGAATAAACACTTCTACTACTGTAGGCATTGACTAAAAATGTTGTTTTCAATTTTGGCTACTTCTTGTCAATCTGCGTCTACACCTACTACTGATAAATCTTGTCAGTTTTTATCACACACCAAAGTTTAAGCACTATTCTTTCAGCCAGTGAGTCAGTGTCTGGGGGCAAATCGGCAATATCATCAGCCCCAAAAACAGTATCTCATCGTTTGGTACATTGAAGACTTAATCCAGGTAACTAAGTCCGAATTTCAGTGTAATCATAAAAATATGTCAAACCAATACACTGAAACTGGCACACACGTAACATATGTAAATGTAAAAATTGATATTTCAGTATCTACGGTGACATCAATTTTTTTGAAATATGCTGACGACCTGTCAGTATCTTTGCCTGTCAAATGTCAAAGTGACTGCTCTAAACTTAATGGCTTTCTGTCAGAAATCAGCCAGTGGTCCAAGGAAAACGGTCTTACCCTAAACCCCTCCAAATGCCAAACAGTCAATTTCACCTTTAGGCATAAATCCGACCTAAACAAACTGGTTGGCTCTCACGAGGTGTGCAACATAGATGGCACTGAAATAGAAACCAAATCGGAAATCAAAAACAGAGGCGTCATTCTATCTGCTGATCTTTCCTGGTCGTCTCATATCTTGACGATTTCTAAGAAAATATTCCGTCTCACCTTCTACATCAAGAAGTTAAAGCATTCTGGTATAACCCAACCCTTACTCCTACAATTCGTTAATTCTCGCATCCTGCCTATTATTCTCTATTGTTCCCCCTTAGTTTTTCCCGGGCTACTGAAGAAAGACTATAACATATTACGCAGGATGTTAAAGGTTGTCAGCAGGGTAAGCAACGTGCCACTTAACCAGCCTGTTAATATTCTGGTTGACAGGCACATGGACTCATGTGAAAAATGGGCCAAATCTATTTTATCTAACTCACACCACCCTCTTCACCCACAACTCTCCCCTTGCATCTCATCAGGCAAAACCAGAAACCTATATAGAAAACTATATGCTCGCACCAGCAAGTACAAAAACTCAACCATACCCTACTTAGCTCGCGTTCTGTGCGATAAAGAAAGCATTAGGCGTGACACCTATAATTCATTAAATAGTCAGTAGAACAACTGGACCTCGTTTTTCCAACTCATATCATTTATAGGTAGGACATTTTCTTTCTTTCTTTTCCTTTTCTCTCTCTTTTTTGTTATGTGCTGCTTTGTTTCTTTCTCACGCTTATGCCAGTAAATATGACAGCTCCTACTTTTCTAACACCTTCAAACACTGTACAACTTTGCCTTTGCTACCGACATGCCAATATGTTGTTGTCATAATGAACTGAGATTTCCTTAATCTATGTAGAATTCTATTTATTGGTAATGTACTAACTGGATGCAATACTGCAGTAAAAATGCTGAGAATTCCATTCTGTATCCCAAGTACTGTTTTGGAATAAAGCATATTATTATTATTATTATATACTTTGAAAAGAAAGCGTTCGTGAATTAGATAACCAGTTTATTTATGCACACTATATCAAAAAGTTGAACACTTCTACTCTATCTGAATGGATAGTGTCGCAGTCGGATTATGACGAAGACAACACCACCACCATGTAAAGTGTTTTTGATATTGATATTTACCAAAGATGATTTGAGTAAAACTGAGATAGATCGATCGATAGATAGATAAACAGAATTTTAAAAAAATCACTTTATCATACTTATTAATTATTGTACTTACTCCACAGCCTGCAGCACTACCCATTCTACGATGAAATTTAGTAGAACCATGCCCAGCACAACCACCTTTCATTCCCCAACGTTCAATAACACCTTGAAAACCACGATTTACGCTAAGAAGAAGAACAAGAAGACAAGGCAGAAAAGTAAAGAAAAAAAAGCAACATAAAGCAGTTCCGTTCACCCTCGACATATATATGTGGGTTGGAAATATTAACCACTGCAGTCGACCAAGGTGAAGATAGGCCGAAGCAGAGTTGAAATCCAAAGCTTCGAAGCTATATATCGAGTGTTTATGTTGTTGTTGAGGTACACTTTTAGACATAATAGGGAAGATAACACAGCGTAATTAGTGAAGTGAATTGTTATTCTACCCAAAAAGATGCCACTAAATTAGTAGATCTTGCATAATTGTTCCATTTGGTCCCGAGTAGAATATAGGCCTTCAACACCACGTCTCCACTTTGTCCTATTCTCTGCGGTCCTCTCCATCTGCCCCCACGATTTCCCACAATCTCTCATCTCCCCCTCCCCAAACGATCTCCTACATGTCATCTTCAGATCAACGTCCAACACGCCACTTCCTATTCTGGTTCCACTAAAGGGCTAGCCTGCACTGAGCACGATCTTATTCAACGGTCTCCTCAGTGGCGTATGTCTGGTCCATTTTCATTCTCTTAGCCACATTTATTGAGCAATAGGTTCTCGCCTGTTGGTTCGCTCACCGCCAGAGTTTCTTGTCGCTAATTCTCCCCAACCAACTGGCTGGCAATCGGATCTTCACTATGGAGCCAGAGAAGACAACTGTTGATAGAAGTCTGCAGTGATTTGTTGAAATACGTTTCGTGACGCACTGGCCAATTTTCTGACTCACATAGAAGAAGTGACTGACTGACTGATTGACTTCACACTTGTGTTGAACAGAATCCGAATGTTGTTCTTCATATGCTGGCTGGCTGAGTGAGTGCAGACGATTTCCAAATTGACTACTCAGATTGACGAAGGTGTATCTTGCCTTTTCGATTCAGGCACGCTTTGATAACCTCATCTATGCCGTCTGCCTTTCAGTTGAAATAATGTTGACTAGCCAGTTGAGTGAAGGAAGTGACCTGTTTCAAACTCATCTCGTTTCTAGTGATTGGTGCTGGTTGTTGTTTTTGGTTGCTTGGTTGGTTGTTTACCTTTATCACTATCGTCTTCTCTATGTGCACCTGGAGTGTTCTTTCTTCGCTGCGCTGTACGCTTGTTCAGTGAGTTTGTTGCCTTTCACCTGTAGGTCATCGAGTTCGTGTGATATTAAATATAAATCATCGGCGAAATCCAGGCCGTCTAGAGTCTTCTTACCAGTTCAACGTACTTCGGTCTTCTTGCTCCCCACAGTCGCCGGCATTAATCTAGTCCACCACGATTAGCAGTATTATCATCGGTGACAGTAGGCAGTCAGCCAGCCTTGTCGAACTCCTGTATTCTCACGTCAAACGACTAGGTGAGTTTTCCCGTGTGGATCACTTGACATGTACCATTGTCATATGTCTGTTGAATCAGGTTCATGCAGATTTAGGGCATGCTATAGTGCTTTTGTTTAGAATTATGTCATTTCTAAATTACTTCGCGCTTAATACCATCGAAGGCCTTTTCCAAGCCGATGAAATTGAGGTAGAGAGAGAGATGTGAATGTCATTCTATGCTGGTGAGTAGAGTTGCTATTTGATCGATCCGCACATGATTCGCTTTTCTTTAATGCAGCTTGTCACAAGCGAAGTTCTGCACTCACTATACTAATCAATAATTAAACGTTTGATTATAATGTTTCTGTAGAACAAATATCCCTGGGTAATATCTAGTCTACTCATAAGCAAGTGTCATGATCAACCTTCTTGCGTTAGTACTACAATACCAGTCAAATTCACAACCTACCTACTTCACCGGCTGAAATGCCTTTTGTACCTAGTACTGCATATATAATATTGTGTAATCATTACTTATCATATTGAATTCTAAATTCTAGTGAGAAGTCGTGACCAGTGAGGTCCCTCCAAATGTCACGTGTGAGGATGGATGTTCTACTGATGACATTGGTTGGGGTCGCGCTAAATCACGAATTGGTAGAAGTTAGAATATATGAGCCATTGAATCGGGTCCCAGTGGCTAAATGGTTTACGAGCTTGCCTTGTAACCGGAAGGTCCTGGGTTCGAACCCCAGTGGGTGTGTACTGCCGATGATTCCCAAACTAGGATGAAACAGCTATCCAGTACTCCGTAGTTGGTTTTCGCTGGTTCTCTAAGTGATATCAATCCGTGATCAACTCGTAAAAACAAAACTAACCCTTACAAACCAAACTATAGAAAATTATTAGTTTATCGCCTTTTAATTCATTATTTTCATGACAGTTTAACTTTGCCATAAGATGATCATATCATCCAATTCCCCTAAATTAGTGGGGCCTAACCGTAGGCACACGTAAATACGTGAGATACCAAGGCAAAAATAACTGTGTGAATCATTTAGAGTGTTAACCTTCTAGTCGCCCTTCACCCAGCACCTTTGGTGTCTATCAATTATGTGTTAGAAATATATATGTGTCTAAAGTATAAAGGATGGTGACTACACCAATGTATACCTTACTGTGTCAGTTATTTATAAACCTTTATTTAGAGATAACGTAGTAAGTATGACAGAACGTAAACAACATGCTGTTAGAATTTAAGTGCATCCAAATTCAAGCACAACCCAATATCCTTTAAATAACTTAACTCCATGCCGTTTAACTTTCAGCCTAGTATGTAGTCTAGTGTCTCAACAATCTTAAAAAGTCACATCCATCCATCCATCATGTGATATGAAATTTGTGCATTTATATCTCCTATGTCTAGTCCCTAGGCTAAGATAATGTGTGTACTACATTAAGATCTCACCATATATATACACCAGACAGGACAATAAAAGCTTGACACGATAGACCATTTATACACACACACACACAACATAGAAGGCCGACAGATATAAATATGTGAGAGGTTAGTAGGCCGTTGAAACAGATAAAGACAAATATAACTAGATCTAGGTCATTGATAATCCCATATCATTTGAGTGACTCATATACGTATCTTACATTATATTATATGGGCTGACAGATTTAACCTGGTTTTCACTGTAAGACAGAATTAAGAGTGGGCCAGAATTCGTTCAAACTAACTTGTCTCAATGTATATACACGTCCATAAAAACAAGTTCACTTTTGACACAGTTTGACCAAATTTGGGCTTTGAGTGTATGTGATATACGCTATTATAAAAGTTCGGCAAAGCTACACGATCATAGCCCAAAATCACAGTGACCTTGAAGAACCAATCAGAATTCAGATGCAAAAAAGTCGCATAATCTTTGAAAATTACACTAAAAAATATATTGCAAACTTAGTATATTAAACTGTATAGTTGTAACTTATATGTTTTAAGAATGTCCCCCAGTCACTACACAGATGATCTATAGGGAAATCGTATCATGCGGGATACACCCATTCATCCAGGTGACTGTAGTTCATGGTGATCCGTTGATATTTCTGACCCTAAACCTTAGGCTTATAAGCCATAACCTTACCTAATAGCACAGATTTACAGAAAAAGTACCTAGTAAATAGGTAGAGTACTGTATCTATCCTCTGCTAGTCCAAAAAGCCAGACATAATGTGATTCGGAATGACATTTCATAGCATTCCGTCTGTCTGTCTATCTGGTCGGTACTCGAAGGTCAACTTTTGAAAAAGCTTCACTTTTGCTATGATATCCTAACTTCGCCGAAAGTTCTTTTTGTATTTCCCAATGGATGAAAAATAAGACGGTACTGTTGTTTTGTTTAGCGACGTTTCGCTATAAATTTTTTTTAAAGTCCTTTACGTCCCGAGTGGAACATAGGGCTTCAAGTTAGAAGCTCGAAGCTTCTGTACCAGTGGTGATTATTTTTTACAGGATGGGGCTGTTAGCCTCATGCACCGCAACCTTCCCTCTTTACCAGTTTTATTGCTGGCTTACCGAGTTAAAGAAGTGTGTTGGCCAGGGATCGCGACCCGGACCACTTACCTGCGTGGTCGGCCAGCACTTCATCGCTGTGCCACCGACGCACGTTTCGCTATTTAATGCTGCTGCTAATAGCTTTATCAAAGTGGTATTATTAAATAAGAATTCACAAAGTCCATTCAGCTGATATATATAGCAATCATCGTTCCTCAGCATGAGGTCATTTTCACGCTGTTGTCAAGTTGGCCAATTGGTAAAGATAACAAAACCAATTATGTTTAGATTGTTGGATTTGGTAAGTGTATAAAATTATACAAAAGCAGCATGTGTTTACATAATGAAATTGCTTACCCCACATTTGTGTTGATTTTGTCACTTCATGGTTGGAGAGGGGTGTGTTGCAACCAGGTTAAATTCTGTCTTAGACCATCATTCTTATTCTTCAGAATTCTTCAGAACTTAGATTCCATTTGGTGATTTCGTATGCTTCTGATATTAGACGTGATGAATGCAATATACACTGGACAAAAATCGGCAGAGAGAAATTGCGATAATCAGGAGAAATGAACAACGTAGAGCCGCCTATGTTCAACCAGCCAGATATCCAGTTGAACTAGAAAAGCTTGATAAAGCATTAACCATAGGTCGTCTAAACGTTATAGAACAATCAGACCACAAAATTGATTTTGACAATATTGAAATCATCATCCAGAAAAAGCATTTCAGAAATCACAAAGAACGTCTCACATCATCCGAAGCACTTCATATCAAGTGGAATCCAAATTGTCTGAATAGGAATGATGAACTAAAAGAGAATCTGACCTGGTTGCAACACACCCCACCTCCCCAACCATGAAGTGACGAAATCAACACGAACGTGGGATAAGCAATTTCATTATGCAAATATGCTCTTTTTATAATTTTATACGCTTATGAAATCCAACAATCTAGAAAAATGGTTTTGTTGTCTTTACCGATTGGCCAACTTGACAACAACGTAAAAATTAACTCATGCGGAATAACGATGATTAAGTTGTTACTTATAACTTCTTAATGAATAAAATTTTATTTTGATACAATTACACAGTGTTGTACA